CGGGGAGGGGTGGGGGGGGGGGGAGAGGCCAAACATGTTGTTTAGTTGTTTATTGATTATAGTTCCACTAGTGTGCAATTTGTGTTATGATTTTAAATTATTTGGATAAAGTCGATGTACATAGGACTGTATAAGACTCCAAATAAAGCATTGTCTTGTCTTGTCTTGTTGGATTAGGGAGGGGGAAAGGGCGGCGGGTTTTCCTCCTTCCCAGTCCAGACAGTGCACCCCTTGGTTCGCTTCGCTCGCTGTTTTTTGCCTTTTTCCTTCTTTACGGAGCCTGGTCCCAGGCAAGACTGAGTGGAGCCGATCTGAAACTTGACGCAGGTTAGTACACTCCCACCGTATTCAAAGCATTTAACTGGTCTTTTCATTTATCATTTACGGACCACTAATTAGATCTTCTGTGATTTCCCCACATCCTTTTCTTTCGTTTCTTTTTTATTGGGGTTGGGAGGGTAGAGCATGCCAATGTTGTGAAGAGTATACCTTTAATATTCCTTTTTTGACAAGACAACTTTTCTAATGAGAAGCAAGATTCCTCAGTAATCATCAGAATTGAAACACAATACAAATCTAAGTCTATTGTTTCAGGTTCATTTGAGACCCGCTTATAAATAATGAATGCCTCTTTGGCTGGTTACTTCATTGTTTGTAAGAAACAAACAAAATAGAAATAAAATTGGTTTAGGTGTGAGGAAGAAAGGAAATTTATACTTGAATTTAAAAGGTGTGAGTTTCCTTGTTTTCAGGGAAAGGAACGTCTGTAAGATAATCACTTTACAGGACAAATGGGAGGCAAATGATGTTGAGTCGATCATGTTTTAAAAAGCTTGATGGGGTTTATAAAACAATCTTTTAAAAAATCATCCTTTCACGCGTAAACGTGGCTTTTGTCCTGATCACAGAGGCCGTGTTTTGAATTTACCAACAAATAATATAAAGCTCTCACGTTCTCACCACAAACTATTAATATAATAGGGTTTCCCCGACTGACTAAATGATTCTCTATTGCAGGGCTGCGAGCCGCCTCACGCTTTTCTTTAGAGTTCATCTTAGACCGCCATAGAATAAAGGTTCATTAATTTTTTGTTCTCAGGTCATGCACTGAGCACCAAACTGGTAGTTTTGAGCTGATCAGACAGAAAAGGCTGAATACTATAACAAATACAAAGGTCTCACCTTCTAACAACAAACAATCAATACTCTTAGTTTCCTGAAAATATGTAACTATCTGAGACTTTCCAACCTCCAAATTAAAGCCTGTACACTCCTGAACGTCAGGAATAAACTCAACAATGAAGGCTTTAGTCAGTTTCAGTTATAAGCAACTACTTCAAAAGAGAGGTCAGCGCCTATTATTTTGTTATTCATGGTTACAGGTCACTAAATTACAGTCACTTTATTGGCCGAATTTATACCAGACATGTCGAATTACCCCGAACGCATCTGGAAACAGTTGCGTCTGGCATAGCCTGTAAAAACAGGCGACATTTCGGAGACGAACAAACTAGCACTTGGTCAATCGGAGATATAGTTCCTTGTTTATTTAGCACAGAGAAGGTATTCACAGATCAGTGTTTTTGCTATTGAGTGGGTATTTGAAAGGGGTGCCATTTTCTATGGTGTACTTTATGGCAAAAGAAGAGGAAAGTACAAATTAATTAGTCCACATTGTTAAGACGTTTATGTATTCGGACGATCCGTGCAAAAAGCCAAGGGTAAAAGAGCAACCCCGTTGAACGACTCTTTCTGAGACCAAAAAATTCTGATGCGTGACCATTGTGTAAGACGCAGCGTGAAACATTATCATTGTAAAAATTTCTAACTCAGGTTTGAATATCAGGTCTATACTCAGTAATTAAAGATGTTTTCTCCCTTCTTGGTGTGGCGGATGCTAGTGCAGAAACGCAACTCGTCAACTCTTTATATTTGCTTGGATTGCAAGACATTCCATTTCAACAAACAAGTAAACCGCCCAATATGTTGCTCGTCTGTCGTTGTAGACGATGACCAGCAACACCACGAAGAGAAGGATTTAGTGCAGTGTGTCCGGCTGCGGCTGATCCTGTTAATACGGAAGCGAAACTTTCTGTTGCATTCCGGACACTGGTGAATTGGGCAGGTGGCGGGGAGATTACTTTAGACTTGCGCAGCTCGCATCTACTCTGAGCTTCTGCCATTCTGTTCTGGTCGAAGATCACAGCTTCTTTGTTGATTTTGCTACGCCAGGCTGGTCGGCCAAGTGCCAGAGTCTCCCAGGTTTCAAAATCAATATCTGAGCTTTTCAACGACGCTTTGATATAGTCCTTGTAGCGCGTCTTCTGTCCACCCTGTCTGCTTTTCCTCTCCATTAATTCACCGTAGATCAGTCTTCTGGAGGGAGGGGGAAGGTGCTTGTATCAGGGATTCTGACAAGATGGCCAGACCACCTAACCTGGGCTCTTTTGAGCTACTGTGTCTTCTACATTTAAGTCTCCTACACCCTCTCAGTGCTGTCGGCCGCTTTTCTGTCTATATCAGTACAAGTGACCGTCATCAACTGTTTTGATATCGGCTAATGTCTTCCAAATTTGGTCAACGCTGGCTAGAGACAATGCAAGACTAGAATCCAATTTAAGTACACTCAAACAAGTTTACTATTCTATCGTTCACTCGGACGTAACATTTGCAACTAGCGGACTGTTCGTTAATTGGCGGTATTGGCGGTATTCCATTGTATTGAACAGTGATATGGGTATCCCTGCGTTGATCCCCGCGCGGGGCGCGCCTTCATACGGTTGACTCTGGATAAGGTTACAGCGGTGTCCTTCTCTGAAAGTCTTCTTGGCGGGCGTTCGAAAGAGAAGGGGAAGGGAAAAATACGTGCGAGGGAGAAGGCCGGGAGGGCCTTTCGCAGAAATTCCCCGGGATATTTTTGACATAAGAAAATATTTACTAAACCTGTGGAGTATATGACACAAATACATAAGCCTAACTGAAATGAATTCAGTTGTACGGTATTTTTGCCGCATAGTTAAGTAAAGGCAATGCTTGTATAGTAAAAGTATTTTCCCTTTCAAAGGGACCCTTTTGTACATAAATTCCCTAGCATATTTTTGACTTGTTGGCATTTCTTTTCTGATTTGCCATTTTTGTTGAAAAGGGTCCACTTTTGGCATTTAATTTGAATATTTGCCACATTCTAGATATTGCCAGCCCTCTAGCGATTTTTCACCATTTGTGCCAATTTTCCGTTTTTAACAAACTTGCCACTCTCAAAGGGGCCCCTTTTGGCATCCAATTTGTTTATATATTTTTTTGCCATTTGTGCCATTCTCGCCTTTGCGTTCGTTTCTAAACATAAGTGCTTCTTGCACGCCCGGAATCGTCTTCCTATTCTCTTTCAAACGCCTACCAGGCGTTTGAAAGAGAAGTATAAGTACTATAAGTACTATAAGTACTGTGTTGCCTCAGGGTGACAAACATTAACCACACACCCAACTACCCCCCGCCCCCCCTTCCCCCCCCCTAAAAAAACATATATTGTTTAACTTTGTCTGTTTTTAATCGATTATATCATTCGTTTAACGACAGACGAAGGAATTAAATATTAACTCCAGTTAGCGTGACCTCGAATATATTCGGTGAATAACGCTCCCATCTCATTAGGTTTACACGCTTTCTTTCGGGTGAACTCCGGTATCTTGAGTATAGCCCCAGGGACATCATTTTCAATCACTTGAATGCCGTCGTCTATGCTGTTACACTTGACTATTCCAGATGTCTGAGTTTGTTGTCCTTCTTCACAGCCTCTTTCCTGTTTATCAGCCCTTGCTGTGTCGGTTGGGTTACGAGCGTAGAAGAAAATCGATTGCAAGTGAAGTGGATCACATACCGCTTTCCAGTAGTACAAGGGCACTACAACCCGTTGGTTTAACTTGATTTCTTCTCCAGCTTTATTTTTCGCCTGTCCACCTTGAATATAACAACGTTAATACAAAGTCAGACTTACTTTTGATAAGGAGAACTGAAAATGGCCACAAAAAAAAACAAACAAAAAAACAAACAAACAAAATTTAATAACAACAACAATAATAATAATCACAAACTTATAATTCGTAACTTTGTGTTCGGATATCTATGACAGGCCATCGAGAAATGTCACACCGGAGCCGTCGTACAGGGATAAAGCGGTCAACCAAGTAGTCATTTATCTGAAGTCTGGGAAGGCTTGTATCCCTCAATTACCTTACATCATCGATCTTTATTTATACACGAAATCGTATCATTTTACATGGTCTTCCTAGGAATCGTGTTTAAAACTAGACTAAAATACTCTAAGGAACTATTTGACTACAATGTTAAAGATACAAAAACTTACATTATTAATAACAAGAGTTACAATAATCTTTGCCACGAATTGAAGTTTTACAACATTTAAACTAGGCAGTTTTCTAATCTCTGAGGGAATCTTGTTCCACAGAACAGATCCTCTGTAGTGTCTGGGGACGTAATAATTTAACTCAGAATTTCTAAGATTGTGTTAATGCACATTTGCGGTGTTGGTAAAGATCCGCCTCAGATACGACAAGGAAAGATTATTATGGATTTTATACATTGTCACAGCCAACTGTTGAAGTCTTACATATTCTAGCCTTTCCCAGCCAAGCTCATCCAACAAAACACTTGAGCGAACGTCATAGTTAGAAAAGGTGAGAATTCTAGCAGCCCTATTCTGCATCTTTTGACAGCACCACAGTAATTAAAATATGGCATTACCAGTGCATTCTACATATTTACACGCTTTAAGATAGCAATACCAGCGGATATATGGTATTAATGTGTGGCCGCCAGTTCAAAGATTCACCAATTTGAACTCCAAGGGATTTATGTTTAATCACTCTTTCTAAGGGTGTATTATTGACTTTGACAGTGAAGTCACTATTTATTTGGGATAACTTAAATGCGCTCCCTATAAGCATGTATTTAATCTTCTTAACATTTAAAGTTAATTTGTTTGCTGACAGCCATGACTGAATTAAATTCATATCATAATTCATTTTATGATCAAGGACACATGGGTCTTCTGCAGATGAGGTAAGGGTAGTATCATCTGCATACATTCTGGGTTTTGAAAACAAATTCAGTACACGAAGGGAGATCATTAATATAAATAGTAAATAAGAGAGGGCCTAAAATAGACCCCTGCGGAATACCACATGTTATTTTACATGTAATCAGATTGGTCTGACGTGACATAAATTTATAGACAGATGATGGTCAATGAAAGAGATCAGGAGAAGAGGAAATATATAATGTTTTTCTCAAAGAATTGGTTATTGCATGAGCACCGGGAGACATGATTCCCCGAGAAAATTTGAAATATAGACGTCTGAAATCTGTCTATCGACTAGTTGCGCCTTGTTCGCTTGATCCTTTGACACTTGAGCATCAGCCCGGAGCGTTCAACTGCCATAAATTCGTGCAACGGCGTTTTTACAAGTGAGTTTATTTTTAGATAAGCTTTTCCCGCGAAATTAACTGTTCCACGAGGTCAATTGCTGCATTGGATCGTCGTTTAGACTGTTAGTAGCTCGCTTGGACCTTTTCACAGTCGGCTATCTCCAAGATGATTTCGATGTAATTCCCTTTGCGTGAATTATGCGTTGTCGTCGATGAAGTAGACGTCCTGGCTAGGTTTTGCAAATCTTGCTCTGAACTGCTAGTAACAACAACAAATAACAACAACAAATTTTATTGAAAATTGGAAAATAACTAATTACATTACTTTCCCACCCGCAAATAGCTTATGAACTAATCGAGGCGGGGGGAGCTGAACACAATTTACAAAACAAGATTTATATATACGAACTGATTGAGAATACTAACTGGTGCTATCTGTCTGTTGATATCATACAATAAATAGCTACAATCTCTGAAAAATATGCTAGACAGGGGAAGGCAATTTGATTTGAGAAAGAAGGGTACGGCGTGTTCCTTAGATTTACTGAAGTAAATGAGACGTAAGGCCCGTTTTTGTAGAGTTACGATCTTTCTTTGAAATGTCAAGGCACAATTTCCCCAACCACAAATACCATAAGTCAAGTAAGGGACAATTAATGAGTTGTAAACTGAAAGTAAAACACGACGCGGGACATAATGTCGAATTTTAGCTATAATTCCTATCGACTTGCTGATTTTGTGACAGATAGATTCGATGTGGTATTTCCATGAAAGATTTGAATCAATCATTAAGCCAAGATATTTTACATAATCTTTCATTTCAAGGTTTGCGTAGGTGTTAGTCACGGAGTCAAAAATTCTAATCCTAGGTATGAAGGGCATATTCTTTTGCCGGGGACGAAAGATTACAAAATTTGATTTTTTTATGTTCAAGGACAGTTTGTTGGCCTTTAGCCATTCGTTGACGTTGCCAAGCTCGCGATTAACAAGTGTTTCGAGTTCCTTTAGGTTGTTATTTGCAAGTATTATACTAGTATCGTCAGCAAATAGATAAAAGGCAAATAACGAAGAGGACTTGTAAATATCATTGATGTACAGTAGGAATAAGAGTGGTCCGAGGACTGAGCCTTGTGGCACGCCGCACAAGGTCGTTTCAGCCTCAGACACAACATTATTAACTTCCGTAGTTTGCTTCCGATCAGTCAGGTATGATCTGAACCAGGAGTTGATTACACCTCTAATACCATAATTTTCAAGTTTAGCTAACAAAATTTCATGGTTAACAGTATCAAAAGCCTTTTTGAGATCGATGAAAACACCGCACGAAAATTTACCGTTGTCCATGTTTTGGAGAATTGTGTTAACAATATCAAGTACAGCATGCTGAGTACTGTGCTTACTGCGAAAACCGTATTGCTGATCATAGAGAATGTTGCAATCTTTGACAAACTTGGTAACTCTGGAGTACATAAGTTTTTCAAAAATCCTGTTATAAATCGAGAGCAGAGAAATAGGTCGGTAGTTTTCGGGCAGCGTGTCATCTTCGTCCTTAAATATCGGGATAATCTTAGCACACTTTAGTTTAGATGGAAAAATCCCTGAGCAAATAGACTGATTAAAAATCGTGGCTAGAGGTACGGATATGACCCTTTTTGCCAATTTCAGCAGCCTAACTGGAGATGAGTAAAGACCATGGGCCTTGTTGTCTTGCAAAACTGAAATTTCTAAATTGATATCTTCCGGAATAATAGGATCAAAGAAGAAAGTGCGATTAAGTGGCGGATCTAAATAATCATAGAATGTATTTATGGTCTGAGGAATTTTAGAAGCCAGTTTGCTCCCAACAGTGGCGAAATATTTGTTAAGAATATTGCTTATTTCCTTCGGGTCACTAGTTGGAACCTCATTCGGGTTTGAGCGAATAGAGTTAGTTGAGTTGCGCTTGTTTTTCTTTTTACAGTTTCCAATTAGCTCGTTAATTCCTTTCCAAGTTTGACGCATATTACATATGTTGAGATCAAAGAAACTTTGGTAGTAGTTCGCTTTACTTAATCTCGTAAGATAAATGATTTTATTTCTGTATAATTTGTATTTGTCACGGTCTGAGGTATAGAAGAGGTTATTCTTTACCCTGATTGATTTTCTTAAACCCGCAGTCAGCCATGGTTTAGCAAGGAATTTTTGTTTACGATTGGATATACTTCTTAAAGGAGCGTGTTTGTTAATTGTCTTGTTGACGCATTTGTAAAACCTGGAGAACGATTGATTAGCATCGATATGTTTGCAAATATTATTCCAATTAATATTCTGCAAGTCGTCAATGAAAGACTTTGCATTGAAGGTAGAGTAGTCACGAACCTTAGTTTTGTTGTTTGGAAAGAATGGTTTACAGTGCGACGTTAATATGCACATCTGAGAGAAGTGATCTGTTGTATCGGACACGATATTGCCGCTGACCATATTATTCTCTGGATTATTTATGAAAATATTGTCAATTAAAGTTGCTGAATTACCATAGACTCTAGTCGGCTTATCAACCACTGGGAACATTGAAAAACTTTGCATTGTTTGGAGCAAGGTTTGTGTGTAACTACAAGTTTCATATTTTAACAGATCTATGTTGAAGTCTCCCATGAGAAAAATATTTTGTTTTTGACGGCATTGCCGTTCAAGAAAATCTGTCAAGTATTCTAGAAACTCATTAGCGTTATTGTGTTGCCTATAAGTAACACCACATACAGATTTCTTATTGTTAGGCAGATGAAGTTCAATCCATAGGGCTTGATAGCAAGAATTGGAGACTCGTTCAAGGACGCGGTATTTACAATTTTGATCAATGAACAGGCCAACACCACCGGCAGATAAAGGTGTTGGGACCGATTCAAAACAGTATCCTGGTAATTCTGGTACAAAATTAAAACTACATTCACGATCGCATATACGAGTTTCTGTTACACCAATAATAGTAAAACGGAAATTCATTTCACTTAAAACATGATGTTGAAATTCTTCAAAATTTTTCTTTAAGCTACGTATATTTGTATGTAAAAAGGAGATTTTTGATTGCAACTGTTTGCTGTCAATAAACTGCGCAAAGCTGTGTGGGGAATAATATTTTGAGCGTATTTTGTTTGAGGAGAGATTTATATCAGGATCAATATGTTTATCAAGAGAGTTTAGCTGGAATACACTAAGGTCGTAGAGACTACTGAGAGAATCTAGCAATTTTCTAGAAGGTCGATTATCATCAATTAAACTATTAAACTGTGGGTGGGCAGAAGTCAGGACTTTACAGTTATAATATGGTAATTGCGCGAGTAAGGTCTTATTTTCGATCTCGCACTGTTTCTTTGTTTTGTGAGAAGTCATTTTTTATCGTGTACAATAGACATTTTTAGTAAAATCTAACCTTCAATGGCCAATTTACGTTTAAGTTCGTCGAGGTCCGCCATGCTCTTGAGCTTGATTATCCGCGATGTGGAGTCTTTTCGTAAACAAATAACGGGACCCTTTGACCAGCAATATTGATAGTGGAGCTCTTCTTTAACTCTTTTAGCCTGGAATAGGACTGCTTGCATTCTTGGTGAAAGATGATCGTAAATTCTGGCCGAAGACAATGAAGACCCTTCTGGTAGACCAACCGCAGCTGGGGTTACATTGCTAATTTCTTTCCGATGAGACATTAGAGATTCCTTAACCAGCCGTCTCACGAATCTGCAGACTATAGGCTTTGGATTTCCGGCGTTGTTTCTTTGCGGGACACGATGGGCAGTGTCAATATCTTGGATTGATATATTCTCTCCCATTTCTTTAAACAATTTTACACAAAGCTTACTTGTTGTTGAAGCCGCTTCGTCAGAACACACCTCGGGAACACCGACAATTTTAACATTGTATTGAAAGCTATATTCTTGGAATTCATCGATGGCGTTGGCAATGGCGTCCACCCTGGCCTTGACCTGTGAGAGTTGTGAACTTAGTCGTTGCAGCTCTTTGTTGGCAGTGGTTTTGAAGAGAAGAAAGTCATCATATTCCTTGCTTAGGAATTCAAGGCTGTGAGATTTTTCTTTAGCAGAAGGGGCGGCACTGCTGCTTTGTTGTTGAAATAAGTCTTTTAGTCTTGAAATCTCCTCCGTTAACGTTGAAACTTTAGATTTGAGATCGTTATTTTCTCTCTTTAGGTTGGCAATAGACTCAGGCATAATGTGACACACGAAACAAGATAACAAAACAAATAGAAAAAAGGAGAAGGAACACTTAAACATCAGAAATTTACGAAATGTTACGCGGAGCACTTAAACACACGGCCGTCCATCTTAACCACATCACGTAGCCCCTAGTTTCCGTGAAAAACTGAAATTGTCGTTTGAAGTACTGTCAGAAGACTTCTCTGAAGATTCCTCACGTGTGTTCGCTATGTTTTTTTCAATGTGAAGGAGTTGTCCTAGTTACGTATTAAAAGTTTGTCATTAATGACGCAATTGCTTGTGATTGGCTTTTCGAAAGCAATTCGCGGGAAAAGCTTATCTAAAATAAACCTCCTTGTGAAAACGCCGTTGCATAGGCGCAGTATGGAAGTTAGACGCTCCGGGTTATGGGCTCCTGGCATCAGTCATTATTGGCTAAACAATAGAAAAGTGAAGAAGGAGGGCCTGACCACCCACAGGTTAGGCTTATTTGAGAGGGGAAATGGCTCAATAGAGGATTTTCCGTATTTTTATAGCTGAACAAAGCTCTAAATGGTCTGGTTCCTTCGTATATCTCCGATCTTTTGAGTTATCAGAAATATTCTAGGTCCTTACATTCTTGGAGTAAAGAATGTCTCAACTTTTAGTTGCACTGAATAGTACTTACTGATGTTAAAAACGTATGGAGATATATCTTTTTTTTATCGCAGCTCCAAATATGTAATTGGAAAAACAGCGTCTTTGAATTAATTTAAGAGATCACTAAAGACACAGCTTTTGATCTAGAGATTTCTTTTAATATACAGATTTTTAATATAGTGTTTATTTTGTTGTATTTTTCCAATTATGTTGTTGGCATTTTATGTTTTACTGTTAGCATTATTACTATAATTTATCTCAGTAACAGCTTTGGCAATAAGAGGTAAACAGCGCTATATAAATACAATAATCATCACCATCATCATTATAATTATTATTATTATTGTTATTATTATTTACAGTGTTTGATGGAGTTTGGGAGAGATTATGATTCGTAATGACAGAATGATAACTTATTCTAGAAAAATGAAAGTACCTTGTATAGCGAGAATAAAGCTGGTCATTCGATATTCGCTTGAGGCGTTTGTGCCTTGTACGTAATCCTATTACGCTGGAAAGAAGACCTACGTCTGTTTTATACGCTGCCAATGAACGCAGACCATAATGGTAGTTTACTTGGTAATTTGGTTCGATAGCGTCCCTCCTTCCCTCAGAAAATGAATTGCTACTATTAATACCGTAAGTGAAAACGTTGAAATGTGATACTAACTTGTGCCAGTAAATACATAAAGTGGATGATTCTCTTGGGTTGCAAACCCTCTTAGCAGTCTTTCCATTTCAGCCCAATTTGCGGCGTTGAATAACTGCCACTGCGGTGCAATATTGGTTGTTACCATTGTGTATGAGCGCCGGTCGGCATCTGCAAAATCCGCATTTGGAGTCAGATGACCTCTGGAAAAAAACTGTTGTTGTTGTTGATTGTAGTTGTCTATAATTTGGTTCTGCGGGGCCTTGTAATCATCGTCTTGCGCCACTGAGTTTTGGTTTCCTAGTTAATTAACAAATAATCGTTAATCAAACGAGTGCCGGTTAAAGGTGTTATGGCCACCGTACAGAAGGTTAACGTGGTGGAAATCGACCCTTGAAGATAATTACACTACTTGCCAACAGTGGGGTCGCTTCTCCAATCTGCATCTCTTCCTCCACCTTCTGGGATATTGGGATCCAAAACGTGTCCAGTGAAAAGCGGAATTTTTGTCTCTGTGCTGTAGCAAACAGCAAACTGAGCTTGGTTAGGATTTACACCATAACAAAGCTGTTTTGAAGTTCCTCCTGGACACTTGACAGGCATTTGAAGGACAGATTCTCTGGGCCCACAAAATGTGGTCCAGAATTTGAATAGACATTTGTTGAAGTCTGAAGCAAAGGAATTCATGTCCGGCTCCTGTGGTTGCTGGACAGCTCTCTTCTGGTGCATTACTGAAACTAATAGCAACTCGTTACAATCAATAGTGTTGGTGTGAATACTGCATCATTTTGCACGGTCTAGTTATTGACGTGAAACAATGCTTCAAACTATATTCAATGTATTTTAAAAACCTAAGCTCATTCAAGAGGGAGATTGGAATACTTATAAACAGTTTATAAGAAAGAGATTTACCTTTTTTATTTATTTCTAATGTTGCCCCCTGAAAGATGGACAGTAAGAGAAGGATGGCTACCAATGTTTGCTTGACTCGCATCATAGGTCTTAGTATAAGCCAGAAATCCCCGAGATCCTTTTAATTTAAAAGAATATACAAAGTAAGAATTTAGCATTCTCAACCTGTCTAACCGACTACAAGGATGCATTCTGGAGTAACCTGAACAAAATGTAGTCAGCGAAATTTAAAAGTTGTAAAACAGAACAGCCCACAACTCACCAGAGCTGTGATACGATACAAGCCAGAAGATTCCCTGAAACGTAACTTGAAGGATTTGCGCTTATATACTTTTAAACGTTCCAACATTTCTTTCTAAACGTGTTAGTCGCCGTATGGATAAGTTTATCGTTCTAATTTAAAATTCTGCACAGGAGTTTAAACATGCGTAAAGCTACGTGCAAACAGAAGGAACAATTCACCGACAATATTGGGACCTGCAGTGCATTACGGTATGGATACAACCGATAAGACTTTGAAACCATTTATAATGCACGTGCGTGGCCCCATCAATGATGGAAGAGCTGTGCAAAAATGCAAACGGATACAACATTGTAACGGCACGCTTCGGTAATCACGGAACAAAAGAAATGTTGGGATTTGTGACCTCAAAAGTTTGACCGGTTTCAAACTTTGTGCGACAACTCCCAACAACAAGCAACAGGGTGTGTAAACGGACGCAAAATGTAGGCTTTGATAGATTTTTCTACGCTTAGCATAATTATTGGTTAAATTCGTCATTACGAGCATGATTTCCATACGTGTTTTCAGAAAATGCACTGCTAGCATTATTTTCACTTTTGGTTAGATTTTGCAGCACAAAATTGTCATTTATTGCTTGCCCAATCATTTTTTGACTCAAGAGCAGTGTTTTAGGCAAATTCAAGTAACAAAATCAATTTTTTGTCAGCTGATTGTCACATTCATGAGACCTGGATGCCACAGAAAGTGACCTAACGCATACGCATTACTGGCTCAGTTGCCCAAGATGGCGTCCGCGTGCTGATTCTTTATTGTTTGAGATTTTATAGTTGTCAGACTATGAATTATTTAACATTAGTGAATGAGGCTGAGTATCTTACAGCCTTCTTATGAAGAATTATGGAGATCGAAATGCTAAAATGAGCATAATTCACAAAAACAAGCATAATTACTGGCATAATTTTAGAAATATGCGAGCACCGCTAGTAGCATATTATGCTAATTTTCTAAATTAATCTATCAAAGCCTAGCAACATGTAACATTCAACATTGATAATTTGTTGGCCAACAATGTTGCATAATGGGGCTTAAGGCAAACATGACAAATATCCAAGGTACTTGGGATAAACCTCTCGGGATGAGCGATAATACCCTGTAATTTTTTTCTGTAGAGGAATAGGGTTTTGTCAGCAGAAAACAAAAACAAAACTTCACGAATGGAAAAAAATCCACTGAAGAAATTTATAATTTGTTTAAATTGTTATCTGTCAACGTTGGACAAATCAAGTGAAGACAAATTTTATTAGAACTTACTGATTTAAACTTAGTTAGAACTTATAAGGACGATCCATGCAAAAAAGAAAATTCCTCTTCTGTAATAGAGGCGCAACACATCATTACATTACGGAGTTAGGTCGGCAACGTTGCCTAGTGGATTGTTCCTGGGTACGGGTTCAACTCATGACTTGGACAGTGAGCACGTAAACTGTCTAAGTTAACTTACAGGGGCTCCCATGGCAACAACCGTTTTCTGTGAAATATCTGTTCGGAGAAGCAAATATTGCCCAGAATTTTCTTTTGCTTGAGGACGGCTGAACTGAACTTCTAGATCAACGTTCCATTCGTGTTCAATTTTCGAAGCTCATCTAATAAATTCCCTACGATTTTCTGAAGTTTAATTTTTCATATTTTACAACCCAGGTTACACTATTTTTCTATAAAATGTGATCGAGAGAGGAATCAGAAAAATTCTTCTTTTCGTAAAACGTTAAATTGAATTATTGAACCTAAAATTTTCTGAAAAATAATACTGAAGCCCTTGTAATTTCGAAAAGACCTAAGTTCCTCTAGGATGACCGAACAGATAAAGATTTTGAAGCGCCGCTTGGAATGCATTTCTAGAGGTCTAAAAGTACTCAGGATAGCCTCAAAACTGTTTTGAACGTATTTTGGAGGAAATCGTAGTTGGGTGCCCCTGAACTTACATGAAGATAAGTCTGACTATAAACTTCACTGAAGACACACTCTTTAATTTCACAAATTCCTTTGTTTTTTTGGCGTTTTGAAGCGGAAGATGACGGTAAAAATAAACTCAATTGTGAAGGGTATACTGTTTTAATTTCTTTCTAGACAAAACAGCTTTACTGTGTCATCCCAATGAAACATAATAGTAATGAAACACATAAGGCAGGATTTTAAATTTATTGTTCTAGTTATAGGTTTGTTTAGAGACCTGATAATAATCAGGAGCCTATAGCAGGCTCCTGTAATAACTAATTAATGCTTTTGGGAACTGGTTACCTCATTGTCTGGAAATAATTTGTAGGTCGATTTAAAAGTTTTGAAACGATGTTAGAAATTTTCCTTTGATAAATAAACATAAATTAAATCAATCATTAAAAGTGAAAACTAACACTTTTTAGCTAAATAGCGAAGAAGACAAAAAAGGCAAAACAATCCCCGCAGGATAAAGAAATGAACAGAGATGAATCAGGCGTTCTTATTTTAAAATTCACTGGGCAAATGATATGGACGGGAAGAACGATAAATATAGTTTCTCAAACCCCTCAAACAAGCAATAAATCTTTCCTAACGTGCTGCGTACCGTGTCACCGATTTCTTTCGAGCTAACCATGGAACAAATGTGTCAAGACCCTCCCAGAAAAATATCTCAAATAAGTGTCAATCAAGCCCTGCCTTGGCAAAGGAAAAGAAAGTAATGAGGGTATTGTTGAACCTATTTTTTCAAACATGATGGTTCTAGTTTCCTCGTAAACTTGTACTTTTGAGTTGATCAGACAAAGAAAGGTGTGATGAATTTACAAACAAATGTTAAGTCCTTACCTTCTGACGAAAATCCAATAATAATTAATATATTTAGTGTCCTTAACTATCACAATGTTGCACTACGTAATGTAAATCTCTAAGGTTTATCTTCTCCTGGCCGGCAATGGAAGTTATAAGCGATAAGCCGCAGTTCAAATTAAAAAGGATTTCACGGCTCATTTGTTATTCATCATAGTTACGGGTCACTGAACTATTAAGCTACTCCGGTGGTAGCTTTTATACAATGTTGTTCAGATTGGCTAAAATTGGCCATCCCCAATTCGCCTGAGAAAGATAATCCGCCCCTAAATTTATAATATGCATAAGTTAACTAAAAAAAAAAGGCGAAAGAGTTCAAGACTATCAGAAGAAACCATTCAACTTTCATTCTCTCAAAGGAAAGATTTATCGAATTCATCAAATAAAAATAAAACAATTAGAATATTTTGGACTTATATCCTGCCCTAAGAGAGTCATCATAATAAAAACTCTCCACAAGATCCCATTTTATCGATCATACCAGACTGGCATTCCTTATCTCGAGCACTAAAAGGCTAAGGTCGTTTATAAGGAACTTGACTCTCTCAAAATTCCACACCAGTGCAAAGCCAAACAAAATGAAACAACATAGTCTTCAAGGGGGGATGTACTACTGATTGGAAAACAGCTTATGCCTTGGCATCTAGATACACGAAAAGTACGACCCCCATTAATTTTCAATACCGATTGCTGTACCCCCATAAATTTGGGGGGAGATCGCGCGGCGATCTGTAAAGAGAAAATAAAAAGGGTCTGTGAACAGGCAAAAAATCTCTCCCTTTCCCACCTCACCCTTCGCCCCCGGTTGCTTCACTTAATTATCCCCAGAACTGAGCGATTTTCAGGAGCCACTAGCATCATGGGATAGTAGGCAAGCACTGAAGAGGTTAATGAAGGATTTCATATGCTAAAGACAGCATGGTGTTGCCTTACTGGGGGAGTGAAACACAAAGATTTAGTTTTATTACTCGAGTCGATAAGGTATATTGGCCACGATAGGGAGAGCTCAGTCCTTCTCCTCCGCAGAGGACTCCATGTGTGCTTGGGAGACTGGGAAGACGGAAAAAGGAGCGCGCGGGGGAAAGATGGGAAGGGCAAATAGAAGAAGAGAGGCATTTCCCTCTTCCCATCATCCACTGCGCCCTCGCTATTTTTTGATTATTTCTACTTTTTTTGGAATTCTCAGCGGCCGAGCCTTTGCAGAGGAAAGCGGGGAGAGCTTAATAACCGCACCACAAGATACGGCACCTACACTTTCAACTGGAGCTAAGATTTTTGATAGATGAAATTCACATGAAACAAGTGTAAATATTCCAGTAAGATATTTCTCCGTTATTTCCTGCTTAGTTATATGTCAAATCTTCACTGTACCACAAAGCTACTTTCCTCGAGTCACAGATGGTGGACTAGTGAAAATAAAGGCTTTACAGAATTTTTACCGGTTATGAGTAGCTTGAGAAGAATTAGTATTTCATATCCGATGATATTCAAACAAGAGCCCACCGTGTGCATGAGAAAGAGGAACTGAGAAACCTAGACGCCACAGCATTATAAAGTTTTACGAACGTTTATTGAAATTCTTTTAAGATTGTTATGGTCAGATATTAAGCTATCTGCATTCTTGCATTCATTCATCAATTTAAATTATTTAAGGCCATTGAGGAAATTATCCATGAATGTGCCTTTCTCTGAAGGCTTACAATTTTTCTCTTGAAAAGGTGGCAATTTAAAATCTTCGAACTTGCGAGATGCCTCTTGGTGACTCATGCAATATATTATACCCTTATCTTTTGTTTGCTCAATCATATTGCATCCTTTTGTTTTAGCCTGGCTGGCGATGCCAACGCTGTTTTCACCCACGAAGACGATCGACTGCTTCGCCACTGGATCACAAACGGCTTTCCAAAACCACCTCGGGGTCAAAACTCTTCTCTTGAGAGAGATAACTTCACCGCTCGAATCTCTTGCTTTACCGCCTAAAAGGAAAAAGAACCTTAGGTGCGCTAAAGATAAATCCTTTTTAGTAAAATCCAACTAGTGATCTATTATCAATGCTGTGTTCTGATTGGTTGTGCTACTACTAGGCTATATGTTATAGCCCACTTGTAGCGAAAAGTGCCGGCTCGAGGAATAATTGTTTATTACCTTGGTGTAGTCTTGATAGAATATGCCGGCAGCTGTTACATATTATGAGACCTCAGGAAGGATCGAGGCAGCTTAGGGGAATGGGTCCAAGCTAGTGAACAATGTTTTAAAACTGTAAAACTGTTTTAACACTTTAAGTCCCAATATCCACATACAAATTCTCCAACCTGATCTCTATACATTTCCTTAAAGAATGAGTTGAGAGAATTTGATAAAAGATCAAAGCATTTTCTCTTAGGTGATCATTTTATTAATTCTCATAACCCAATCTCTTGACAATGTATGTCTATCGTTATGAGAAAATTGATGTTGGTCACTATTGGGACTCGGGTTAATTGGTCACAGTTTGCTCCTTCTTCGCTCTTCTATGTTCATAAAAGAGCAAGGTAATTCGCTGTTTAGAGTCGATATGCTATGCTAGGCTTATAATAAATGACAGGTGAATACAATCCATAGTTGGTATCAATTCCAGAAGAGCTCAATAAACATTGAAAATTGATTAAAAAACTGGCATCATAATGCATTTGGAAAGGAGGGTTGGGACCTCCAAACTCTTCCTCTGGATCGACGCCACTGCACGTGGTCTGAAATGCGCACTGGCGGAACAGCTGGGGCAAACACATTTAAGAAACATACTTGAAATCATACTCTACGAACTGAGTGGATCAACCGCTGAACGTGATGTTAACAGTATTGCTTTTAAAAAACTGGAGAAATGGCTACTTGATTTAAAAGATGCATTCTTGTTGTAAGTCGGGAAATTGCTGGCAAATACACTGGCACATTGAAGGCCCGCTACTTACCCACACCAGTAAAAACGTATAAATTTCTTCGGCTAGAACTTGCGCATTTTCGTACACCTTTCTCCATTTCTTGCCAGTTCTGGCCGTTAAACTTTTGCCACTGAGGTGCAATGTTTGTTGTTATCATTGTCAGAAGACGCTCATCGTCTGTATTAAAATCTGCATTAGGAGTCAGATGTCCTTTGGCTAAGAAAAACTGCTTTTTGATGTCATAGTTGTTGAACAAGCCTCCTTGGCTGTAAGGATCATAGTCTTCTACTTTCGATTGAGGCACTGGGGCTAGTGGGTGCAGTGCAAAATAATACACAAGGAATTAGTTTATCATTAGGAAAAAGGAAAAAGTGGCGACAAGGCAAGTATCCTAGCTCAATCAATTGAATTATCAAAGGGTTGGTATATGTTTGTCTACCGTGATGGAAACTCAGCTACCTCCGCTCACCCCATGTGACTTGTGTCAAACAATCTCGTTCACTCTGTATTTTTATAACTACCGTAAAATTCCGAAAGTAAGCCCCGGGGCTTATATTTTTCAACAGGCCCTTTTAGAGGGGCTTATTTTTGGAGGGGCTTATATATATAAGCCCCCCCCCCCCCGGGGGGGGCTTATATTTGGAGAGGCGATTTAATGGAAGGTTTTTTGCCTTACGAATTTGGGGGACTTATATTTGGAGGGGCTTATACTTGGAGGGGCTTATTTTCGGAAATTTACGGTATTCCCTATAACGATGCACTATTTATACACTTACAAATTTAGTAATGTGAAAGTACTGGAAAAGGTGCCTCATGCGGATAATAATATGGGTTCCCGCTCTGCCAAAGAAAAATTAGTGGAAAGTAAGACTCGTTACCAAATTTTCCCTTGTCTTCTCTCCAGTCGTCTTCTCTTCCTTTTCCCTCAATATCGGGTAGTACAATATGCCCTGTGAAGTCTGGAGTAAGTGTTTCTTTGTTGTAGCAGGCAGCAAACTGTGCCTTTGGTGGTTCAAGACCATAGCACAGCTGTACATGGCTTCCTTTATACCCTTTACACTCAACAGACTTGCTCAAAACGGCGTTTGGATTTCCAGAAGCAGTTGTCCACGCGGTGAACAGACACTTGTTGATGTCATTAGAAAAGGCGTTAACATTATGCCCTTCCCTTTTTCCGCTTTCTTAAAGAAAAAGAAAAATTGTAGATCATTTGCCTGTCTAGCAATATTTGTTTGGTTTTCACTGACTTTTTAACTAAAGCTTCATTATATGTTGAGGAAAGTTGATTCTCTTTAATCAGCCACTTTTCGTCTAAGGAGACCAGCTTCTTTCAATATCTTCTTATGTTCTTTTCCGTTAATGACTGCGTGCTGCACAGGTTAAGTAACGTAAATTCCGCACATTTTTAACTCAACGTTTAGCCAGTTGACCTTATAAAAGTGCTCTCTGACATGCTTAAAAATTTAAAAATGGCTTTCATCCTTCGTTTGTCTGTTTCAAGATCAATTTGTTTCTTAATTAATTACCAGTCTTTTTTTGGTTCGTCATGCCAGAGACCACAAGGTTACCGGCCCGCACTTCGCTGGCGCTTTTTCTATGGTTTACTTTTATTCGGAACTCTTTCTGTTTGCCGGAAGTCGACACTCATACGACAATAACAGCTGATGTTGTTAACTATTTACCTTTTTCAGTAGGAAGGGAAGTTGCCCCTAGAAACATCGCAAAAAGGCTGAAAACCATGAATAATGATTCTTTTGTTCCCATCTTCGCTGCTCTCCTTTTACTGAATGTATTTGATTTGTTAATCCTTTGGAGTAAAGAAAATTTTAAAAGTTTTTTTAGACTAAAGTATGCTCTATCTCTAAACAAATACAGGAACTCAAAGGCAAGTTGGTCCTGATGATTCCGTTTCGGTATCATTTTTTTCCACTTTTACAAGCTAAATTTGAATCAAATATCGCTGTGATTTATGTGCCAGTTTTTCAAAAATAATCTGCTGGGTTTTTCACAAAATATTTCAAATTAAGAGAGATATAAATAAATGTTTTATCATAATAATAATGATAATAATAATAATTATTATAATTATAATACTAGCAATTATGATTATAATTAATAATAATAATAATAATCATAAGTATCATAGACGATCTGTTTTTTACATAAATATATATAGATTTTGAAAAGACAAATTACGGGAAATTCTTTTTAAATTTATGGGAGCAAAAAGCGCAGAAATTTGGAACACTGTAGAATGAAGGCCCCACTGAATACCGCCAGGACGAGTTGGGCTCCTTCGTTATCATTAAATAAAAGACTTTATTGTTATACAAAGATCGTTTCTAAATGCTTTAAAGCATACCTAGACGCTGATGTAATAAGGGTGGCAAAAGTGTGTTAAAAAAAGAAACGATTCTTAAGCCCGTACTGCCACGTCACACACTTTTTGTGCAACCAAAATTTAGTGTATTATATGCATCGGAGTCCTAATTCACATTGAGTTAAAAGAAATAAATGCAAAATGATAGAAAAGAGCAAAGCACATTCATGTCAAAGAAACGGTCCTCTAGATTGCACAGACTGAGATGATATTTTTCCAAATTCGACACATTAGGCTGTTTTGATTTATCTCAAAAGCAACCAAGGTTAATCTGAGGCCAGTTTCAATCCTGCTTCCAGTCTGACAATAAAACTTCTTAGATGTCATCCAATAGAGACAAGCACCCTTGAAAACTGTCTTCTATATTTGGTTGCAATCCTTTTATGTACGGGAGGAGTCATAAGGACTATGATCACCAGGGTGAGTTAAAAGATGATACCAATCATCCCTGAATTAATCATCCAAAGTCAGACAAGCGACAGCAGTCACCTGAAGCGTTTAGAGTGGAAGAAGTTTAGACAAACGTAAAGGGGTGTGTTTTGGCATCATCTCGTTTTGCAAGCCAGATGTGAAACTAGACATCTTATGGCTAAATTTTGGTTTCTGTAACGGACGGGATTAAAAGGGAAGTTGTGGTTTAGAGACATCTTATTTGAAGTAGAATTATCAAGCAGAACGATGACCGCTAGCTTTCAAAAAAAAAAAAATTGACAGTCGATGAAAATCTTTAAAAAGCCGGGCCATCTTCCTCACTTCTTACTCATTTTCTTTTGCGAAAAACAACAGGTAACTGAGTCACTTCTTGCAAAAGAACAACATTTCTTATTAAGTATAAAGCATTCGGAATGATAAAAAAATCTTCTGTTTTTAATTTCAAAGGATCCCTGCAAACAGTTAGAGCTTACCCTACAAAATGTTACTGCCCAGTTGATGCGATGGGACACCTGCCGCGAGAATCTGTCCACACAGAACTGAGGCGGGCTACGTCTGCGTTCATATTTATCCAATGGCTTATTTGATGGTCTTCTTTTCAATTGGAATAGTCTGACACTTAAAAATTCACCATTGGATACCGAAAAATGATTGAACAGTCACTGATCATTTACTTTTCAATAACCCCACAATGAACTATTGTGTCAAGCATACATTATTACCTATTTCATTCATTTTGCAGTAGAAACTGTAAGCTCATTGCCTAACAACCCCGTTAGGTCACTACGTTTAATATTTAGGGTAACTTAGTAAACCAGACAGACTACTGAAATAAATGATGGATACTAGGAATTGTCTAGATAGCATCAGAATAAAGTCATGAAAATCGTGAAACCGGAAGACAAAAAAAATGGAATTATTGAAAGACAGGATTAATTTAAGGCTGAAGGGCGAAGCTACAGTCAATAAAAATACAAAGGAAAAGCGTTTAGAATTCAGATTCAATACGAGAATGTTATTGGTAAATTAAGTAAGAGTCTGAAAGAAAAAAAGTTTGTGGGTTGCTTTGGTAGCAGCGAATGGTCTTTTATAATAGACCCATCCACGGGTTTTTTCAACTCTTGACATGGACAAGAAAAGAAAAATCCGTCAACTCCGCTAGAGAGAGCGTCTTTAAATCCGTAAAAACTGCGATGTTTGAAAGTAATTTGTTGAAAACTAACAAAGATGTAGGTCCTCAAAGTCCAAAAATTTCACAGACGTTTGTTTGTATATCTTCGCTCGCTTAAGACGTATCACTTTTAAACTCGGAAATTGAAGTAATTTTAAGGAGTTTTTTCTAGTGGTACCGCCTAAACTGACTGAACTGTTGTGTCAAGCATACATTATAACCTGTTTGATTCATTTCGGGTGAAAAACTGAGAACTCATTGCCTAACCACAATCTCTGTTGACTGTGTATACTATTTGCAGTAAACAAGTGAACCAGGCAGACTAACACATTGATACTCTGAAGTGTCCTAAATAGATAGATTCACAATATATTCATATAAAGGTGAAAGTAAGAGGCATAAATACGTGGAATAATTGAAAGACAGGATATAAATGTAGTACTGAATAGCATAGCTTAAATCAATAAAACATACAAAGGAAAAGCGTCTGCAATTCAGATTCATTACGAATTTGGTGAATTAAGTAAGCATATGAACGAAAGCTCGTTTTGATTGTTTTGAGAGCAGCGAATTGTCTTTTAAAAGAATAAACGTGCAGCGTGCAAGCATCGAGTTATGGATCCACGCGGAAGGTAAGAGTTGCACGTTGGAGGTAGAGTTGCTCTTGGCTACGCCTCGAGCAACTCTAGCTTCTTTAATGGTGCTTAGCAAACCATACAAGTGCATCCACAACTCGATGGTTACTTAGCAGTAACGTTTAACATTTCTTTTTTAACATAATCAAAAGAGCTTATCTTTTTCAAAATTCTGCTCACAGATAGCAGTCGAATGAAACGAGTGTTGTTTAATCACGTACCCAGATCTCTTGTTGACGAAGCCTGAGAGACCTGGGAACGAGATTAAGTGTTGTCATGGGTTGTGAAAATAAATTAATTGCAGTCTTTTCTTTCAAAGAAATCTTTTCGCTAAATAAGTAGTTCTCCATCTGTTTGTGGATCTTGACGCTATCTTAAAAAGTTTTTGAGACATTCTCTTAGGATTAGGAAAAAAACCTTTGCAAACTATGAGGTAAAAACAAAGCACAGTTAGTCGGGTAGAAAGTAAGGGTGATGCTCGATGTACCAAGTCAATTAAATATGCATTATTGTCTCGTTCTATTGTGTGAAATTTATTGTGTTATTGTGTAAGGGCTAGGGATCATTGTTGTGTTCTTTGTGACGTTACTTGAGACTTGCTATTCCCTTGGTATATCGTGCACCTGCCGAAAGTGACGCGTACGGCTTTGAGCGCTTGCTTGTTCTTTTAGGCATTCACGCAAGGGCAAAAAGTAAATAGGTATATAATTGACCAATCGCGCGCGCTTTACTTTTGTGAGTCTGTTACAAAAATACTTATCAACACGAATTTAATGCTACAAACAATAAATGAGGACCTCATATTTCTCATTAAAAAAAGACAACATAAAATGACTGAAAATGGCAGACAGGATCATTAGCAAACAGTCGCCATTCAGTACCTTACTAGTCACAAGTAGTCGTCAAGGTTACCAGACAGTGCCTGTTTGTATGCGCTTTTTTAATTTACAGTATTTCACAATTTTTGTAAGAGTCCGGCCGTTTAATTACTTTCTTTTGAAAAAATTTCAGCCGTTTTTACCATATCTCCTGAATATACCAGTTCAGATCATTTACTGACTAGGGTTTTAGTTTTTCAACAGCCTGGGGCCGGAGGGGGGGGGGGGGGGGGGCAGCGGAGGGAGGGGGGGGAAGGGGGCCTTCGGTTCTTCATGAGGATAGGGCTTTTTTGAAATAAAATAAATGGCACAGAATACGATAATACCGGTAGTTATACTATATCAGTTATTTTACTACTAATACTGCTAAGGTTATACAAAATTCGAAAGACAACAGAGGTGACCTTTGTATAGCGTCACATTCAAGTTCCCGTTATTATCAATTTGTATTTTATCCTAAAAAGATGTAATTTTTCTCATTACATATTTTATAACAAAACTGTTGATAGTTTCCTAACACTGATGCCACTTCCTGAAATACCTTCCAAAAATCTTTTACAACCTTCAAACCGAACTTACACTTACACTTCCCTTGAACTCGGGACCTTCTGTACCTCTCTTTAAAAATGTTTACCTCCCCCCTCAAGCACCACCCTCCTTTTAACAAGGGAGCCCCGGTCTCTTGAAAAAACCTTATTTTTTACGTCTCTCTCCCCCTATCGCTCCATGACCGCCTTCTCCTCGCCAGCCGGATAACTTTCACATTGCAACTTCTAGTTTAACTAGTTAAGTAGAGTGCCTAGGAGAAGGTGTGGTTTTCGATGGTTTGCCCTCGTCTTGAGTATCGACTAGAATGATGACGTCAGTTCTGTCAAAGCAAATTGATATTTCAAATTTCTTCAGTTTTTTTTAAGCACCTCGTACAATAGTAGCAGCAAACAGCACTAAGTGGACAAGAAAATTAATTTATTTTTCCTCTGTAAGAAGCAATATTTTGAGCAAAGAGAGCCCAGCTACATGTAATAAGAAATTTATAGTTAAACCATAACTGAAATTTTCGAAATTAAAATTATAATTTCAAAAACTCATGCTCAACTATACTAGAGCTTATTACATTTTCCTACCCACACGGCCTTGGCTGATCATAGCCTAAGGGGAATCTCTCGCTTGTTTTCTTTCTACGAGTTATGAGCCGGCGGAGATTAGAAAGAATAGCCTGCTTTCTTTCTTGTTGGCGCATTGTACGCTATGGCGCGACTCGCTGAAACGTGCAAAAAAACAAACAAGAGCTTCGTCATAGGCTAAGTTGTTCGCTACTGACCAGCTTTTTTCAGTGCCGTGGTGATTCCTATGCAAGTGTAAAATGTTTCCAAAGGACAGAATCAGGACACTCGTCGCTTGGGAACTACTGAGAGCGTTGAGATCGTTTCACGTATGAAGAGAGCTAAAAACTTTTAAGCGCTACAGGATCTTGAGAAAGGTCTTTTCTTTCTCAAGGTGCATTTTCATTCATCTCGCTCTTCTATTTGAAAATCTCTAAGAAGGTCAACATTTCTCTTAAGATAGACATTTTTCGAAAAAATAACTCTTTTAGGGGGGAAGCACTAAAGAAGACACCACCGCTTTGGAAGAGGCCACTGTGCATGATTACTAGATACGCCACCTTAGATCAACATATCAATTGAAATATGATAATATCTATGATTCTCTTCACAGAAATACGGTAAAGTGAACAAACAGGACGGACGAGAAATGCATGTGGTGAGATTGCGCCAGTTTCACTTCTGGGTCAAACAATCACGTATATGCATTGCCCTGACATACAAAAGCAGAGTTAACAATAGCCTTAATCCGCAAAGCATCTTCTCTTTGCACAGTCAATACAAATAACAATTGACAGTTCTGTTATTCGCCATTCTTCAGGTCCTTTCATTCGCCTGATTTTCTTCATTCATACATTGAGTGGTAATTTTTTCTCTTCAAAACAAAGCACATTTTGCCTGTCGACGAAGAGGCAATTGCTGAACATCTTCCCTTCATTAGCTTGTTTCCTCGAATCTGACTTAGTTCTGCCTCACTCTGCACCACCTGCCATCCCAATTTGTTTCCGACCAATTTTCACTGCATTTTCACTGCACCGAGTTTCATTGGTCCCTTTCCTCCGGCGGCTCGTTTTTCTTTCTGAGCCTGCAGTTTCTGCCGCCGTTCTTCTCTTCTCTTTTTTGCAAGTTCCGCTTTACTGGGTTTGTCTTGTCCCCAGTCCTCCATACCCCAGTCGTCTTCCTCCCATCCACCATCCGGGGACTTATTAGTTTGGGATTCTTTCGCAGGGACAGTGCTGGTCAGCGGTGATTCGTCAAATGATCCCCAGTCTCCGTCATCCCACGCGTTCCTTTCAGTGTCTTGTGACAGGGGAGGTCTGTTCTTGCCGTGGACTCCAGATCTTTGTCCCGCAGCTGACTTGGTTTTCACCTACAAGTGACGAGAAATTTTGCTTACCAGAGCATCATTAACACGGAATCCTAGCGAGGGTATTTAGTCCGTTATTGCCGGAAAATGGGATAAAAATAAAAATAAACGAACAAATAAATAACACGGTTAGCTTTTCTATGCCTTGGTTAGAAAATGATCAGTATTATGTATGATTTAGGGGAAAAAATTGGAAACAAAGATTTGCCTTTACCACACAGGAATAAAAAAATTATCTCTCACCATACCTTTGGGGCGAAAAAGTCTTCGTCCCAACCGCTGTCTGAAACGGCAGGCTGACTAGTGGCTTCACCTAACATATCTGATATCAGCGTATCATCGTCTGCGCGAGAAGACTTTTTATGGCTTGTGCTGCTTCCAGTTTGCTGTAAAGACCAAAGTGTGAAGAGCAATTTAACAACTAACGCACTCAGAGAGGTTATAGTGACAGTCAATTGAGAGTAAGTCCGGTGGAGCAAAGAGAGAATATGCATCTTCTTTTCAAGAGTTAATTGAGCGGTACGTGCACCCAAAGGTCTTCATTGTTCTCTTACCTTAGCGATCTGTTGTGGTTTGTTTTGTGTTATTTTTCTCGTTACAGAAGGTGCAGCAAAGCTATCTATGGACCAGTTATCATTTTCCCAGTCACCATAGTCGCTGCCACTCCCTCCTCCGTCTAAATCAGCCGCAAGATTTGCAGATTGTCTAAGGGACTGGGCATAAACAAAAAAAATACAGACTTCATACACTACAATTTCTCTTTAGCTGCAATCTTGATTTAAATGATCAAAGGCATCGGCTGTTTTCTGACTGGTCATACCGGTTTTTTCTTTGTATTCTGAAACTGGGCAATTTGCTCTTTCGCTGCCAGAAGGTCGCTCTTTAGATCGTCTATGTCCGGTTCCTGAAAAAATAGAAATTAAAAAAAAGCCATAACGGTCGTTTGCATCAATGGATGGGTCGGGCTAGTAAACGAAAAGAGAAAAATTGGGGTTTTGGGCTTTACACACTCAATGCATTGTCGTAAGGGTATGCAACTCAAGTATAATAAAAAATTACTGGTTAATACCACCGGATGGAAAAAGAAGCGATACGAGATGTGCTGTTTAACGCAAAACGTCAAAAAAAAAAAAAAAACAACTAAATTTGAAACTGATTGTGTCTTTCAGAAACACTAGATCCCTAAAGTAGAAATCAATTGCAAGAAATACAAGGTTATGGCGATTTCACACCAAAATATAGCACCTTTCTCTAAAAGAATAAATAAGCCGAAAAAATCAAAACAAACAGAGGGGTCTCTGGGGGAGGAATTTTTACCTGTGCATCATTCCACTCATCCTCACTCCACTCCCCTCCGTAATCACTGCCTGAGTCCTCATTCTTTTCATTTTTTGTTGGTTGTGTGGGTTTAGGACGATTTTCGGTTGATGTTTTGCTGACTGATGTTGAGTCTAAATAGCAAGGCAATATAAAAATCTTATTATTGCTTCTTATTAATTATTTCCTTGAGATGGATTCTTCGACATCAATTTGTGATGCAATGGCAAAGAACCCGGCCAAGACATGACATATCGATGCTAATCTACATGTACAATGTACATTTGGGCTGTAAAGGCATGGAGGGGGGGATGTTGTGTTTGCACTTCAGAAATGGAAGGGTGTGACCAAAAAGCCAGCACCCTTGATCAAAAAAAGGATTCGGGAGAGCGGTTAAAATCGAGCCTACAAACATTCGCGTTTTACTGATTTTTTTTAAATGGAAAGAAAAGTAAGGTGTTTACTACACACTGGGCTGGTCTTTGGACTGGCACTGTACATAGTCATACCTAGGTTTTTGTCCTTGTCAACTGTTTTGGCGTGTTCAGGAGCTCCAGCAGCAGGAATACTCCCTCCCCGGTAGAGTTTGGATGTCAGTGAACTGACAGCCCAACCCGTCCAAGAAGAACCTCCAGCAGCTGCTGAATCAGGAGTTTGCTCTGCAACTAGAGATGGAAAGGTAAAATTACTTCCTCATTTAAACAAAAAATGAGCCAGGATCTCTGGAAGATACAAGAGTATGAAGACAACAACTGGATCAATCTGCCTGAACGTCTTGTAACCCAACTGTTGGGGCACGAAGAAACTAAAAACTAAGAGTATAGATAATTCACCTACGCCTTAGGTGGGATGTTAATTTTATTGCAGTGGGATTTGAGTAGTATAGGGCACTCCTAATTATCCGTTTTTCTGCGGTGGAATCACGTTAATTTGCGGTGAAATATAGTAGCGTCGATAACATCATAGCTGTCTGACAAACCTGCTGCCTGGTTCATGGCCGACTCAGGATCTTCTGAGGCTTTCTCAAGCTTACCAAGGAGAAGCTTTATCGCTTTGAAGACCTGCACACACATAAACACACAAGAGACACATGGAACGAACTGCATGAAACAGAAACCAAAGCACTATTTCTTAACAATTAATTCAATTCAATTCAATTCAATTCTTTATTCACACTATATAAGATATTTACATAAGTGCACGTAGGTAGGAAAATAAAGTAGCTGACAAATAATAATTAACTAAAAGACATTAAGCTCATTTGTGTACCGTGTCCAAAGTAGCAAGAGCTACTTATTTTAGTTACTTATTTGGGTTATACGCTTGTTACTATACTTTATTTATACATATTTATATTAGTTATCCACTTGTTATCAACGTCATGTAATTACTTGGTATACACTCGATCCTGGCCTTGTAAACTTATACTTTTATACTCTGAGAGAGCCCAATATCTATAAGGCTTATGGTTTCTTTTCTTTTTTTTTGTGGTGAAATCAACTAAAACTAAAACTAAACTAAACTAAACTAAACTAAGCGTTATAACCTGGTAGCTGTAATTAGTACTGTAATTCAAGTATTGTTGACTTCTCCACTCACTAGAAACGTAAAATGTATCGACAAACAACAGTTACGTTACGACTACCACTAACTCACGGTTTGTTTCATCTTTAAGGAGAAAACAAAATAAATCGCTACTGAAAGAAAATTCAAAGTTTGACCGGTATCAACAAGTTCTATGGAACAAAGTTATCCGGGTCTGTAACTCATCATGTTAAGCACAGATTTGGACGATTTCATTTCCTTTTTCTCTGTGAAAACCCTTGCGTTTCATCCCAAACAGAGTGATAGACTGACTAAGTGCTTGTTTTACTGCCCCGGCCTTGCTGGATACTCTGATGAATCAAACATTTTTCCAGTATTATTTACCTGATCTCTGATTTTGCGTTCTGTGTCCATTGTAAGGCTGCATAAAGCAGGTAATATTTTAACAGCACAGTCCTTTAAACTGAAAAACTCCACACAAGCAAGAAAGCCCATCACGCCAGCTGTGCGGGCCGGGGGAAAAGGATCTCGCAAAGCACGCAAGAACGCAGGGATCAACACCTTTTGACGGGTCTGCAAAAGAAAAAAGGGGACCCTGTGTCAATAGTCCATTTTTGACTAATTAAATTGTCCCTTAGTTATATTTAGGGTTGTTTAACAAGAGCCAACTAAATAAGCAGGGACCAAAACATAGCGAGATTAATTCTAACAGGCTTGACTAGACTAGTAAGTGTGGTTATATAATGTTGGGTCTAAACGGTATATCGTAAAGAAAGAAAGAAAGGCCTTAAATCATACCACGAAAAAAACGAGATGCAGCAGCTTCACGCAGGATACAATAATCACAACAAATGAGGACAATGGTAGTACATTTTACCTACAGAAATGCTCTGTAAACTGCTACACCGTCCGCTTGACTGACCCCGAGGAAATAGCGGTCCCGTCTCCAGCAGGACATGTAAAAATTTGTCCCCTTAATCAGCACCGTGTGTTGAATACACTTATATTCAAATAAACTTGACTTTTTACAAAGGGCAACTAATTGTTAAATTTGGATCTTAGTCCACAAAACAAAGAGTTACAAAAACTTATAATAATTTTAGCTGGCATAGCTGGTGGTTTTGTTGGTGAGGAACCATGGAGGGGAGGGTGAGTGAGCAGTCAAGCTGAAAAGAGAATGGCTGGAAACAATGAGAAACACCGTACCGCCCGCCCATTTCATTTTCTCCAAGTTCGAATAACAAAACTGCCAGCAATGTAGGATGTTATAATCAGTTTAAAACTACCGATATAAGTACATACAGCTGGTGGAAGGTTGACAGCAATTTTTCCCAGACAGACTGTAGTGTTTGTTCTAATGCCAGCCTGTGACAAGTAAGACAAAAATTTTAGCTCAAGAATTTAATCTTGACAATGTATTGCTTAAATCCCAAAGATACAACTACATTCTGTACAAACCTAATTAGAGCTAAAATAAAGCACGGAACACAAAAACTTTTCAACTATTGATATTCACTATTGACAGTTAGGTGTAAAATGATAAACAACTGGCCGGAGCTCAGTTCTGAAAAACTAAAAGATAATATTACCTCTTGGTCCATTTGAAGTTTGGCAAAGTATTTCAGTAGCTGATTGTTGATTGTCTTCTCACTCAATTTTGGAGCAAGAAGTAGCATTGACTGTAAGGAATCAAACACTTAAATCAACAACAGTTTCATTTTGCTTACAAGTACTCAGTGCTCAATAACCAATATGTATTTTGAAGTAGAGCAAGTTTGGGCCATCTAAATATAAGGCAAAATTTATCATCAAAATCAACAACATGGCAGGCTGGGCTATTTTATACCTTAACTGTTTGTTCCCTCATGGCTGGTACTGTGTCTCCAAAACCCAGAGAAACATGAGGAAAGATCTGCTCATCTACAGTTGATGGCTTCAGGTGCTGGACAAAGTTGTCAAGCTGAAACAAATATTTTGACACATATTTTACTTGTACCTTTACCATTGTAGTTTAATAATATCATTTTTCCTTTTTGCTATATGCAGGTAATCAAAGTAAAACAGGAGCGGAATTGCAAACAAACTTGTTTATACCTGTTGTAATAAGTGGATACGTGTAGCTCTGTCTGTTGATGAGAATAGCTTGACCACACATGGTACTATTTTCTGTTGGTATTCATCTGTGTCCAATAATTTACCAACCTATGATGCCAAGAATTTAAAACAAAACTTAACAGGTTTTGAATTCCTTACATTTCCTAACCAACACTTTTTGTCTTGGAATTTACAACGATTCAGGGCCGAGTTGTTCAAAGCTGGGTTAAGATAACCCAGGGTTAGTGCGAGATTTGAATTCAGATTTGAATGCTTAAAAAGCATTTCAGTTTTAATTCTTTTTGTCTACAAGTTGATGATTGGAAGCTCTAAAAATAACAGAGAAAATTATTCGAGAAAATGCTTTTGAACACAAGAAAAAGAAACAAGAGTTAAATTTAACCGCGGGTTAAGTGCGAATCCGCCTTCGAACAACTGGGTCCAGGTGAATATAATTTATAGAGGGAAATAGATTACTGACTTTGAAGAGAGGTCCAAGCACAGCACTGCCTGCTGATCCATATTCATAAGCATTAAGCAGCTGTGGAAGGATTTTGTGTTTACAGTATTGCTGAGGAAAAGAATCCAGTGAAGAACTCAGGGATGAGAAAAACATCTTCTGTTCCTTATGCTCTTTAATCTACAGTAAGAATAAAAATTGCACAGTAAAGTTAAGAATCAGATCATGCAAATGTATCTGCATGTTACTGTTACCATGGCAGTAATAAACTATTCATGTGCTCTGTTGACAATAGAAGGAGGACTTCAACCACTAAGCCTTGAAATATTATCAATATTATCATTAACCTTTTAAGCCCCAATATCCACATACAAATTCTCCAAACTTGTCTTTATACATTTCCTTAAGGAATAAGTTGAGAGAATTTGGTAGAAGATCAAAGCATTTTCTCTTAGGTGATCATTTTATTAACTCTCATAACCATTTCTCTGGGTAACATATGGATATTGTTTGGAGAAAATTGATCTTGGTCACTATCAGGACTTAAAGGGTTAATAATACAAATATCATATAACTTATGATAACAATTATTATTATAAGTTACAAATAATCATTATCAAAAGTCAACTGACAAAATTAGCAGTATTGTCAGCCTGCACTATTATTTTACTGATATTTTGCATCTTTCATGATTATGCTACATGCACATGATGTACAATAATTTATGAGAATGATGACTGGAGAAATAAATTGATCAAGGTCCTTTGATTACATTTTACTACTAGGCCAAGGCAAAGAATATTCTTCAGTTTACTGCCATTTTATTATTATGCAGGAGTCCATGATAAAACAAGAACGCTTGTAAAATGTTAAGTTGAGCTTGTTTGTAGCTTGCATGGCAGGCGCTCGAAAGGGAAGGGAAAAGGGATTTTGGGCGCAAGAGAGGGCCGTGAGAGAAGCATGAGGAGAAATTAATTCTTCACGAAACAGGATTTCCTTACTAAAAGTTTTCCATGTCCTACAGTCAAGTATTCTTCATGATACTTACATTTTATATCCTAATTGACACTTTGTTTCTGAATTGATCGAGTATGCATGTATAAATACATGAAAATTACCCAGGGCCTCGATTTGAGAGAAATTACATCATTGGCCAAATATGTAAAAACCTAAACAATACATGTTGGTAAAAAGCAAACCTGCAATTCTTGTAAGAATAAATTGGCATCAACAAAGCTGTTCTTAAGATAGTGTCCATCAGTCCTGCAATCCTGCAGAAATTTTGCAGGGTTTGGTCTGCTTTTAGGATTGGCTCCAACAAGTTGCACGTAATCTGGTACAAGATTCCTTGGAATTTTACCAACAGACTTGAGGGAAGCTGTCCTGGACAAACAACCATTAAAGACTTCCCATATTAAACAGCCAAGACCCCACATATCTGCTGACCTGCAAGGAAATAAGTCCTTACTTTCAGATTAAGGTACCTGGCCATTCTTAGTACCTTTATTTGCATAAGAACAGGCCCAAGTTGTTTAAAAGGTGGATAACACTATCCACTTGATAAATTTCTATCCAGTGTCGATAATGCAATTGGTTTTCATAATACCTATCTAGTGGATAGTGATTTATCTGTTGGATAGTGCTATCCATCCTTTAAACAACTGGTGCCAGCAGTACATATAATATTATAATACAAGAGCATTAAACTGCAGAACAGCTCACCATTTTTCAATCCTCTTGTTAGCTTTACTAAACTTTCTCCCCTCAGGAGGTTCATAGACCTGTAAAACTGGTAGTCGAGGAAGATCAGGCTCCGCCTCGCTGTTTGGAGCTGGCTCTACAGGTTTAAGATATTCCACTCCACCAAGCTTCCATTCTCCTGCCACATCCACAAACACAGATGCCATGCACACATTTCCATGAATTAAGCTGCAGTCATTTGTAAGAAAACTAAGGCCTGCCTAAAACAACAAATTAAAATAACTTTTACATCTGTTAATAAATGAAAAATCATAACAATAACAGAATAAGCACACAAACCATACTAAGGCAAAAGAAAGCTGTTATGTTAATGGGTGTTGTTAATGGGTGTTGTTAATGGGTGCATTGTGGTTTAGAAGCAGATTTAGCTTGTTTAAAAAAAAACTTGCGATATGAAAATTAACTTTATTGTATAGAAGAGACAGCTAATAAACTTTGCATCAAAGACCTAAATATAAAAGCTGCCTAAGAAATGGTCTGGGTCAGAAATTATTTGTTCAATATATATTTATATGATTTATGACACTTCTGCTGATTTGCCAGATCTTCTTTATCTGAATCAGGCATATCTATTTAGAATTATACTAACTGTTATCTGATGTAACCCCCAAGATATAGCCAGATCAGACTTTTCTTCTTCATTAAGCTGTACTTCCAGTGGTCTCACTGGCTCTGTCACCAAGTAAATTACTGTCTCTGACTGGAAAAAAACAAAGAAACAAAGAAACAAAGGAACATTTCTGGAGCACTGGATAATATTTCGACCGGAAAAAAAATTTGAACCATAACATATACAAATGTATAATGCATTTCTGGAGCATTGGATAATATTCTTTAAGACTTGTAAAAGGATCACATGATGGTTTGATCGGCCAAGTCGCTATCAACTGTAACATTTATATGTAACTGTTTATTGTAACTTAAATCTATGTTAATTATAAAAGTGACTCGGATTGCTAGTTACCATTACCTCAAGAGCATCTATGAATCGTAGAATATTAGGATGACGAAGAGTTTTCAGTCTTCTGAGGGCTACCTTGGCAGTTTGAACCTTAAAACAATTACGACAGAAAGGATGCACTGGTAAATTAAATTGACCCTTGGGCTTAAGCTCAGTTCGGGAGTCTGGTAACGGGTAATGGCGGCCAAATCTATGAGCATGCGATAAAATGAGCTGTAGTTGGTCAACTTCCTTTGAAAATTGCATCCAAAACGCTTTTGGAAGAAAGAAAACCTGGTTAAGATCAAAAGGAACAATCTTTTAAGTTATTTATGTCCTTAGAATGATCTACCAGGTTGGTAAGATGGCAATGTTTAAACTCAGGTCAAAAACAAAAGGATATTAACCCCCTAAAAAGTGATTTAATTGTCCAACCCCCCCCCCCCCTGGAATTTCCAAGGGGGGGGGGGGGTCTTGATATCACCCCAACTTTGAATGGAATTAAAGAAGGGGGGAGGTGTGTGGATTGTTTCGTTCTCAGAAGTCACCCCATTTGAGGAGAGTGTCTCAACAATTTTGTCATTGATTGAAGCAAAAAATAAAAGGGGCTAGTTAGTAATAAAAACGTACAGGCAAACAGAGGAGGACCTACGGTGTAGATCACTGGCTTCAGTCCTAACACTGGTTTCTGGAAGGCTGATATGGGTAACCTTTGCTTGGGCAAAGCAACATTTGTTTTTTATAGGAGTATTTATCTTGTTCAGTATGCAATCTCCCATGACATGTCTTTTATATGAATAGGAAAGTAATGCTGACACAAAAGTCACAATTCTATGATTAAATTCCATCCCCCGTCTACCCAAATGCCTGTCCCCGTTGATTATTACCTTATCTTCTGAAGATGACTTTACATCATGTACGAACACTGACACGATCTCTCCAGTGCCCTTAAAAACAACCAACGAGGTATTATAAGTTAATGCTCATTCTTCTGTTAAATAATTTCCGGTCATCTAAACCAGAGCTTACTTTCTTTTTTCCTTCATGCAGTGCCCACACGGATTTGTCCTCCAGATTTCCCACTTTATCACCGACTTCGTAAGGAAAATTTTGTGCAGCACCAGTTCCAATCTTTCCTATCAAGCTCCATATCCCCTGCATCGTATAATAGGCAATTAAGCGGAGGAAAATGACCCCAAATTAAGAAATTTCACCCCATCTCTTATAAAACCGTGATTTTGTTGTCTTCGTGGCGAACTAGTGCCCAGTACCTTAGGTAGCCCGGAAGTTTTTGCTGACCATAAAACTGCGGGCTCAGTTGTCCGCCATGTTTGCTGTTTTTTTGTGAAAGAAAGTGAAAGAAGGTGTGTTCGCCGTTGGGGAAGTTGAGAAAGAAATATGATGCATCAACTCGGACAGCAGGTTAGTATATGCCATCGTAGTTCCTGTATGTAAGACATATCTGCTTTTTTTTAGCGATTTCAAGCCGGCAATGAATACCGTGTGCGTTAAATTCTTGCCATATTTTGAAAGCGCATCAATAATAAAGGCAAACGCAGTTTATTTGTGTTCTATTAGAGGGAAGCGAAAGTTGCTCAAGTTTTATTAGAACAAGTGGTAAATTGAACCTATTAATAGCTTTATGTGAACTTATAACGAAAGTAAACGCACCTGCAGAATCGTTAAAAGGATCTATGGTATATTTAAGTAAAATTGCTACTGAATGTTAACGTGAAAAATTTTAAGCTTATATTTGTTCATTAACCACCTTTTCATCTCTTTCCTTCCTTTTCCTTGTTTAGCCGTAGCTTTGTTTAAAGCAGGGTAGAAAAAATCCAAATATGCCAAACTTTCCTTGCTCTTTTCGACCAGTAGTGTGAGTTCTTAATTATGTCCCTTTTGAATTTAACCAATGAAAGAAGGATGAAGGAGACAAGGCCAATGGCTTAATGTCGCTGCCCAATGATACGATCATCTGAACTGAGGCAAGATCTTAAGTCACTGCTAGCAGGATTTCACCAGTTTTTTAAAGACCCTGATTGTTGGTCAGATCGGGGGATGAACCCATGACCTCTTACTTGGCAGACTGGCACTCTACTGAGCCTACAGGGCAATGGCGGCTGACCTGGTAACGGAAATCCTGAGCGATCATATTCTTATTGCTCATGACCTTCCTGATTGATTAAGCATTGATGATAGAGGCAAAGTTTGTTAATAATAACTATTAATGGGCTTAAAAGGTTAACTGACCTTTGAAATGTACACCAGGATTTAAATATCTCTGCAGGTATCACCATTTCCCATTCTTAGTAATAATTAATGAGCTATAATATTATTATTTTGTTACTTTTGATTACAGAGAGGGTTTCCTCATACTCATCCCTCACAGTCATCAGGGTTATCTGAGATGGAAAGAGAGAAGATTTATTCCTGGGTTCTTGAGCTTTCCAGTCCAGATACAAGAGAACATGCTCTTCTAGAACTCAGGTATTTTGTAACACAGGTCATAAATACACCATTAATTTCCAAGCAAAATACTTGAGGCAGCAAGTTTCACTGTTAATTACAAATAAGGATATCTCCCTGTTTAGAACTTAGAGTGTATACCAATGATTTTTGAATTTTTTTTTAACTTTTACTTACTTCTTAAGATGTTAAGTGCATTGTTGATCTCTTCCTTTTCTATTCTTGTAGCAAAAAGCGAGAAGTAGTCCCTGACCTGGCACCCATGCTTTGGCATTCATTTGGTAAGAAAGCTACTACAGAAAAGGTGTTTAGTACTTAAGATAATTAATTAGTTGTTCAGTCTGTGTTGCTTCCCACTGGTGTAAAGTGAGTTTCACTGACCAGTCACATCTCTTGAATATGGTGGGGATTTTGAACTTATGGGACTATTAATAATTTGGAAGTCAATTAAAGTGGTCAGGTATACAAGAGGACTTTCATGTTAATAATTTTATTGCATATCTTATTATCTAGTGTTCTCAAACCACACTATTAAAGACTCGTTGCCTTTAATATTTTTTATCACGCAATAAATAAAATTATTGATAATAATAAATATTTATTAAGTTTTATTAATATATAATCATTCATCATTTCAACTCAGTGTGTGAGATGGGCCCTTTGTCTGAGGTGCCATACTTCCTATTTCCATGTATTATGGTCAGCCTGATCATGATTTTATGTGGAATTTTCCCTTGTAGGAACCATTGCGGCATTATTACAAGAAATAGTGAATATTTATCCAGTGATCAACCCTCCAAATCTTACAGTAAGTTACCAGTTATTTACATGTATTATAATGTATTATAACATGGATAGTAAATCATGGTTACTTGTAATACCCTATAATTATGTAGTTTCCATAAAACAATAATTATATAATTATTACCTATTCTGTTCTTGTATTAAAATCCCCTAGTAACAGTTAAATGCACATAAGTCTTTTCCCGATATCTGACTGACCTTTCTCACCTGATTTTTTATTTTTGTTATTTTCATGGACTAACATACATGTATATTATTTTATTTAGCAATATCTATAATTTTATGTAGTGCTGAGTAAGTGAAGTGTGTTTGCAACTTGCAGGCTCACCAATCCAATCGTGTTTGTAATGCACTAGCCTTACTACAGTGTGTGGCTTCCCATCCTGAAACTAGATCTGCATTCCTACAAGGTAATTGCAGGCTACGTCATACAGTATCATCAGATTGTGTTATTTTTTACTGCATAGCTATGGAGTATAAAAAAAGGAGAATTGACTCCTGGCCAATACTGATATGTACCAATAACGCCAGTGTTCGACACTAATTTTCCTGCTAACTTGCCCTCTGGGCAACTATGTCTCTAGTGTTACTTGCCGAGTGTATTTTTTGGTTGCCCAAAAAATTCTCTTTGCCTATAAAGTAGGCACTGTTGAAAAGCCTTTGCAGTTTTTCGTTGTCTTGTGCATTCACATTTCGTAGCACTGTTCTCATAGGTGCGGCACCTGGGTTTTCCCGAGCAGAGCTTGCTTCAAAACACTTGAAGTGAGTTTTACTTTTAGCATGGGCCTGAATGGTAGTACGCCTAAAGGCACCATTTCCAATGAACAGGGAGCTAGATTTCTCAGCAATTTCGGGAAAAGAACAGCAAATTTTACACTTCATGGTGTTCTTTTCTTCATCGTGTACAAGCCAAGGAAAGTCGCGCTCCTATGACGTTTGGTATTTTCGATCTCGTTTGCTTTTCCCAGCGAAGACTTCTGGTTGAGATTCAGCTTTTCTTTTGTCTCCTGGTTCCTTAAGCTTTGTAGAATTTAACTGTTGTGTTGCTTGGATGTCCTCCCTTTTAGTGACTGTGTCCAGTGACTTCAGCGTAAAACCAAAACGAAATAAACTCATGGCTGCTCATCATGGCAAGTACGTGAGAAGACTGGGTACAAACTTACCCATGAATACTTGCTTGTGAAGAAAAACATGGCGAAAAACAAAATACTCAATGTATCGGCGTAAGGACCCATCACTGTACTTGTTTTTCATTTTCCTTCTATGTTCTCCTGACTAAAATTTCAAAAGAGGGAGCAGGTGATTTTGATGCAGCTGTTGGATTTTATTCTTGTTCCAGTGGCTTGAGTGTTATCCTTAACCACTTGCCCAAACGGGCAACCTGTGCAGCTTACACACTTGCCCAATGCATAATTCTACTTGCCCTGGGCAAGTGGGCAAGCGTTAGTGTCGAACACTGGTAATGCTCCCCAAATAAAGACATTTTTTATCCATCACAGGAGAATAGATTATTATTATAGTACCAAATATACAGGTAGTTAACAATTTACACAAAAATGAAAAAATAGCTGGCATTTATAATTTTCTCGTGTCAATACTGTATTTACTCAAAAGAGCTTATTGCTTATTCAAGGGGGTAGTTACAGAGTACATTATACTGTAGGATAAAACTTCCTACATGTATTTGCAAAATCCGTTGTGCACAATCTTTCTCTTTCTCTCTCTCTCTCTTTTTCAAAAAATGACAAAACTAGTCCAGGGAGAATGTAGTTTTTAGGCCTGTATCCCTTCTAGATCCAAATTAGTAACAACATTAGAAATCAACAAGCTCTGCATTGTTGCTTGGAGGGTGCAGTGCCCATTGATATTTTTGCTCCGCAAAATATTGTGCTTATTTAGGTGCCATGCAGTACTCATTTATTCAAGGGCAGTCATTAATGTGCTAACATTCCAATTGAAAGTCAAGTTAAAGAACAATCAATGTTGAAGTTATTGCTACCTGCACTATTAATTCCTCATCCTTGTTAACCTTCGATTAATTTGTTTTATTCCTCCAGCACACATCCCTCTTTTCCTGTATCCATTTCTTCATACAACAAGTAAAACAAGACCATTTGAATATTTACGACTGACCAGTCTGGGAGTTGTAGGAGCATTAGTCAAAGTAAGTCACTTCATTATATTCTACAGCAAGGAAGAATCATTTTGCTGATCAGTGGTTTCTCATTGGTGGTATTTTCAAATGTTTTGCTTTTTCCAGACTGATGAAGCAGAGGTTATCAATTTCCTCCTCACAACAGAAATTATTCCTCTTTGCTTGAGAATTATGGAATCTGGAAGTGAACTCTCAAAAACTGTAAGTTGCATTGAGAGCTCTTAGTGTTACAGTTGTATTTGACCCTTTAGGTCCAGTCACATCCTGTTTGAAGAGGCAGAATGTTGATAATCAGACACCAGCTACTCATTAACACAAAAAAACAGTCTCCTGAATAATCTTTTGTATTGTATTGTCATAGATGCTTTGTAATTTTTGTTAAAAACAGAAACACACAACTACTCAAATAATTTTGTGCAATAAATGGTTAGACACTTTAAAAACTAAATTTGGAGACAGAAACTGTACAACAACATGTAGATGACTGTGCACTGGGTAAAACTGTTTGAAATAATTATCAAAATTAGTTTCTGTATGTGGCTTTTTTTGCCATATTTGTGTGAGGGAGGGAAGGAGTGGGAGGGGTATTAGTAAAGGTGAAACTTATCAGGCTGATAGTAGATCTGTCCATAATGACGAATTAAAATATCACTGACTGCTTCTCATTATTAAGCAGTGCTTTTTTCTTGCTTCAGGTAGCCACATTTATCTTACAAAAAATTCTGCTGGATGAGACTGGGCTATCTTATATATGTCAAACATATGAAAGATTTTCTCATGTAGCTATGATTCTGGTAAGATAAATTAGTGGAATTGAAAATACAGTCAACTCTTGCCTTGTGGACACCCCGCTATAACGGACACCCTGATAATACAAACAGCAGCTAAATCCCAGGAAAAAATAAATTACAGGTGTTTATCGAATGACTGAAGCAAGCTCCCGCTATTTCTGCCAGTAGCTAAGGGTCTGTATAGTGTCCGCTATAAAGGGAGTTGACTGTAAAGAGTAAATTGACTGCTTATTGGCTAATGGTTTTGTACACAAAGAAATCAGAATAGTCAAGTTGTGAATTACATAATTATCTTAGAAGTAGTGAGCAAAGTTATGGAGATGTCTAAAACCTCTTTTAGATTGTGTCACTGGACTTAGAGCAGTTTTTTTGCCCAGGGTGACTGGTTCCAAAATAATAGTGAGCTTAAGCAACGAGATCACTGACATCCCAGACATCATGAACAGCAACCAGAAGTTTGATGCCTCGCTTGATGAAACGCTTCTGTCTCACACAATGAATCTGAATGCCTTTGTTTTAACTCCCACTGTACCAATTTTCTGACTCAGAGCAGTGAAAGAGAGAAAAGATCAACTTCTGGTTGCTATTTTTGACCTCTGGGACATCAACATTCTCGTTGCTTAAGTTTCCTATTATATTCAACTACAACTTTGGTTAAGCTTAAACAGACAAAGAGTGATCTTAGCTGTATTGTTGAACGCCTTCTCACTCAGTATAAATAATTGCAAGACTATGTGAGTGATTACATAAATTCAGTAATCTTATTCCTTTTATTGTAATGCCTGACATAGTGGACTTTTTGTATCCTTCTCTGTTTAGGGGAAGATGGTTCTTGCTCTTGCAAAGGATCAGTCAGCAAGACTGCTGAAACATGTCGTAAGATGCTACCTTCGCCTCTCTGACAATCCCAGGTGTGTTGATTAACATATCAGCTGAACACTGAGATTAGCTAATGACCTATTCAGCCATTTGCTTACAAATTAGTAATGTTAAATGTTGATTAATTTGAAAAATGTTGGGAAAAACTGTATTTTAAGAGATATGAGTGGAATTTTTACTAACAAAATAGACAGTATTTTCTGTAATTTACACAGTGGTGTTTCTTGCTTATGCATTGTTGTGAACGGTGGATATAAATAAAAATAAGAATAGAAGACTAAGTTTCCATGAAAGCTACTTTGATAGGTAAATGGTAGCCCATTTTTTAGTCCTGTATTTGTATGTTATGTTAGATTTGTATCAATGTTAAACTACCTACCTACCAAACCACCCCTGCCAAATTGGTGGTGGTTAGGGGGGGGGTGTAGGGGGAGGGTTTTGAGCAGCCCAGTTCCCTTGGCCCCACTCTCCCTGTTAACTTGATTGAATGATATTTGTAATAACGAGGATTTTTAAGTCACTTTAACTATTGCATTTTGTTACAGTTTGTGCTGCTAAATTGTATTTTAAACGTGATGGTAAAGTGAACTTGCTTTCTTTTGTCTACTAACAAGGGCCCGTGAGGCTCTTCGACAGTGCCTTCCTGACCAACTTAAGGATGGAACATTTTCAAACTGTTTGAAGGATGATGCTTCTACAAAGAGATGGCTGAGCCAGTTAATGAAGAATTTACAAGATCCCACCTTAGCTGATCCTAGGGGAATACCTCTACCACCTTGACAATATTATTTTCATAGAAATTGAGACAGTGTACTTGCATGAATGATACCATGTACATACTGAAAAATTTTCTGTACTTTCCCCCTCCATTTGAAGATTCTGATATCATTTGCAGTGCTCACTCTTTGGTAGTACCATAATTTAGTAAAGTCTAGCTTGTACAAAGTATCTTTTGAACGTAAAAACGGAAGAGTCATTTTGTTCTAAATAAACGCTGATAAATAATGGTGGCTTTCTTATTTTTCTGTCACTTTTATTCAAAGAGTACTTACTTAATAGGCTATTGCTTTGTGCCATTGCCACATGGAAGTCAATATCCTTAGAGGTTTTTTTTTTTCTATGAATTTATCTTATGATTTGAAAATTAGGAAGTTTTGAAAAAAGTGTATGGGGCACGTAGTCTAGGGTATTAAAGGTGTAGGACTTACTGAAAATTTTTAACATCTTTTTCTTGAGAGCATAGCAGCGTTTCAGATTCGAAAGAAGCTGAGAAATCACATACTAGGGTCTGAAAAAGAGCCCGGAGGCTACCCCTTTAAAAAAGCCACATAGTTATCAATAGTTATGTCCCGTCTCAAAGGGTATGGTTTTTGCGCCGTTTTAGTCTGAAAACAGGTATAGGTATACAGGTATGTTTTTGACCTGGAATCTGGTATGGTTTTCGAGGGAACTACTGGAGTGCATGAACGTACCTTTCGTTTCATATTCCAAATGAATAAGAAAAAATGAGTAACATGCGCATTCGAAATGGATTTTAAGAATTTTTCTGTTAGTGTTCTATTATAGAATTACATGGCGAAATCGGGAGCTATCGACGCGAATCAAAGTTCTTTAGTTAAATTGAATTAAATTTCCGTTGAGTTACATCTTTTTGAAAAACATCCTTTCATATTTATAGCGCTCTATTAATTTTTATGTCAATAATTTTATAACAGAACTAAAACCATAACACTGGTGTCGTCGGGGCGTGAAGTCTTAATTAGAACCCTAGCGCTATTACAAAGGAAGACGTCAATTGAAACAAAAAATCGCACATTAAAATGCCTAAAATGGCACTATTGGACTGTGTGATCAGTGAAAAATGTTGCAGTGTTGACGGAGGACGGGGCATTTGCCATCTTTTTTCGTCCCCACCCCGGGGGAATTGACAGCTCAAGAGACCCCACGGCCGGGAATTTGCCATTCAAGGCAAAAAAAAGAAAAAGCTAATGCCCGGGGGTCAGCCGGGGGGGGGGGGGGCCAGGGGGGGGGGGGCCCGGGGGTCAGCCGGGGGGGGGGGCCCTGGGTGCAGCTGGAATAGTAACTGATGCATAACTTCTCTCCCGCGGGTAGGAGAGAACCCTGGGAACGAGGTTGACGCGAGGGGAGAGGGACCCCTCGCGTGTATCCCTCGCGCGCGCCCGTTCTCTCGTTCGCCCACTACTTCCAAGCGCCTGCTACGCAGGCTATGGAGAACCGCAACCAGGCGGTTCACTCCCACCAAGATCCCCCCAACCCGGGAAAAAGAGTAAAGCTTCCAAGAAGCACACTGCACAATTTTTCCAGGATCCCCCCTATCTCCATCGCCTCCTAGCTCCTGCCGGCATAGAAATGATGTCATGAGTCGTGGAGGAAGAGGCTTTACTGCAAAAGAAAGCGCATGTTTTGATTTATTCCGTGAAAATGCGCCTTCATTGTTTCAGCCGCAAAGAACCTGGGTACTAGTAACCGTCATAGGATATCGCAAGGATTCCTGGGATCTCTTAGCAATAAACATCTTGTGAAAATAAAATGGCCTGCACCGTGAAAGTGAAAACAAAGGAACTAAGGTCGATTTTGCTTCTTAAATGACTTCACTAAAAGGCTTCCTTCCACCTGCAGGGAGTGCTCTATGGAGAAAAGACCGTGGACGACTGTCCTCAGAGAGCGAAGGCAGCTTATCGCCTTCAATCAAGCATGTCGTCATAAGAGAGGTATGGCAAAGAACTAACCCTTCACCGCACGCCTTGTACAAAATTGATGTCATGACCAAGTCGAACCACTGGTTCATATTTCGAAGGTACCGTGAATTTTACGAGCTCCATAAAAACCTTGTGGCTTTGTATGGTATCCCTAAAGATATGTTGCCACCAAAGAAACTGACTTCCAACATGGCGCTGTGTCATCTTGAGAAACGGAAAGCGGCGCTGGAACACTACCTGCAGCGACTGGTAAACAGCAGCACTTACGTGTCGACTTCACCAGAAATCCTCGAGTTTCTTGAAGTACAACGGCATGATGTGATGGCAGTGACAAAATCACTGGCAAGAGATTTGTTTCAGAAAGGAAGGGAAGTTTTGGCGAAAGGTGAAAGTTTTACTTTCTCTCCTACTCAGTTGTATTGTGTAACGCGTCAGTTGCAGTTACCAGAGCCAAGCAGTCCGATGGATCAAACAGATGCAGCAGATCTGGGGAATTTGTATGATTTCGTTTATCAGCTGCAATCACTTTGTGTTAGCAGCATTGTAAACAAGTCTACAACTTCACAGGAGCTTTCCAGTCACTTGGAGTTTGACATCTCCTTGTTCAAGTCCCTCAGTTGTTTAATCATTGATGGCTGCCCTTTGACACTGATCAATAACCTGGCAAAAGTCCAGTCCCAGATAACAAGTCTAACAGCACGTTACTGTCTGACAAACATGAAGGAGCTGCTTGTTGATTGTGCCGCAGAGAAACGTTCGGCGCCCAAAGTAAAGGGTCCTGTGGAGTCTTGGAGAGGTCATACCACAGCAAAACTGATGCAGAATCGTGTTGTTGTCCAACCGTGGCATCAGCTAACACGTCTTATATTAACACATAACAAACTAGTAGCATTTGACACATCTCTTAAACTCTTGCCAGTTCTACAAAATCTTGATTTGAGCTATAACGAATTTGTTCACTTGGATCTACAACAACTGTGCTGTCCAAGCCTTATGTACTTGAACCTGTCTCATAACAACATCCACTTCATTACAGGCATGCCTGGAGGGCTGGCTCATTTGAAGTCTCTTGTTGTTAGTCATAATAACCTTGAGACTGTTAGTGGATTAGACTCTCTGACAGGGCTGATTGAACTAAACATTGAGCACAATCAGATATACACCATCCATGAAGTTTCCAAGCTGTGTTTGAACTCCCATTTGAAGTACTTGTGTATTGCTGGAAACCCTTTTGCACGAGCAAAACCTTACAGGGTGATAGTACTGTCCTTCTTCAAAGGTAAAGAGCTGATTCTTGACAAGAAGCCTATAACAAAAAAAGAACGGATGAAACTTAGATCCCATCCCACTAAGTTACGAGCCAGCACCAGTCCAGATCACGTGTTGGATGATGAGCCTGCAAGTGAAGATGGTCTGGCTTCTCGTAGATATCACAGCTTAAACTTGTTTGGTCCTTCTGAGAGTGATGATGACTCTGGTATTGAAGGTGCTCCTAGCCTAGCAAGCAACAGTGTAATCATTGGTCCAGAGGAATCTGAGATTTTGGACAAAGAACTGTCATTTAACTGGTTATACTACCCTGTGGGGAATGCTGTACCAGTCTCAAATAACATCACCTGCCTTCCTTCTGAAGACAGCAGAGAGGAGCAGAAAGATCCAAGTGTTGCTACCAACAGTTTTGTTTTGGAGAATGCAAATACAGCTAGAAAGGAAGTGACTGAATGTTATCTTGATGATCATGATTCCATCAAAAGCCCTGGTACTTTTAATGATAAATCTACTACATTGGGTTCAACTTCAACTTTAGAGGCAGAAGAAAGCATAACACAGTGTTCCTCAACTTTAAATCCCAATGCTAGTGTGCCTACAGAGCAGTTATCAAGCAACTCTACTTTGTCTGCTGATGATGTTCACATCACACAGCATGACTCCAATGGCAAGTCTGAATCAGGTGATGGCCAAAGCCATCCAACGTCAGCTAGAGCTAATGACTGTCAACAACTGGTGGAAAAGGACAATGAAGGACAACAAATTGTTAAGGAATCCACAAGTGTCGCGAAGCCGATGAGTGGTGAACAGAGCTTTAATGCTAAGCAGACAGTGTTTACAAGTGACCATTACCAACAAATTGGTTTTTTACCAAATCCAACAGAATCTTTGCTAATGAATGATGAATAGAAAGATAATTCTCCACAAGAGGGGTAATCAGTGATAATATTATTGTAACAAGTAGGGAGGTACATGCATTTAATCAATATCAAATCTATTTTCCTCTCTTGATAATATGAATGTCAAAATATAATATTTACTAGTCAGGTAGTTTTCATAAGTGAAAGAAACTTAAAACAGTTAACTTATTATGGACAGCAAGTTGTTTATTGTTAAGAACATCTGTCTGTATTTATAATGATATTATTATTATTAATTTATCTACGAAAATTAATGTTAGACTTGTGCTATGATAAAATTATAAATTCAGATTTAGAAGTACCATATTTATTCGATTAACTGCCCTGGGCGCTTATTAAATTTTTGGACCTTGATATTCAAGGTCCACCTTATTCAAGGTGGACGCTTATTCGAGGCTGGGCGCTTTTGTTAAATTTTCACTATTCTCAGCAAGTGAAGTATGTTCATTTTGCAACAAAACAATAAATGGTAGCAACAAAAAGCAATGATGTAACAAAGCAAGGTTTCTGTAAAGTAGTCTGAAGAAAACTCCATCTTCGGGAGGGTCTCTTATTATATTAAAATTATTGGAGTTTGTGTGGGAGGGAGTGGGGTGGGGGTGGGGGTGGGTGCTTATTCGAGGCTGGGCACTTATTAACTCAGTTCTGCCTTTAGGATGGATGCTTATTCGAGGTGGGCACTTATTCGAATAAATACGGTAACTGGTCAACTTACATGTATGACTGTAAGCTGCACTATACAGTAACGGGACAACACAATAAATAGTTTCTTGGACATCAAGAAAAAAAGTTTTGCAAGTGTGTTTTCCACTTCCATAAGCCACATTTATATCTTATTTTACATTACACAACAATTCAAGCAAAAATATTTTTGCTTTTAAATAGTACAATAATGATGCATAAATTTTGAAATTATTTAACTAAACGTTCAATAATACTTTAAAGGAATTATGGGGTTAAAATTGCCATTGGAATGATAAGATAACGTGTATGATATTCAAATGAATGGGTAACGTGTGCAAATGTCCTTTTCTGCCTTAAAGCAAAGGAGTACTAGCGACAGTTATACCATCAGCCTGGGTTAGGGTTAGATATTACATCACTCAACACTACAAAGTTCTATTTAACTGAAGGACAGAATTTAGATGAAATGTGTCAGTTTACAGATAGATGTATTCATTAACCCATTCGCTCCTGGAGATTTTGCCGAAAAACGCATTTTGAAGCTAGTCGAGTGGTTTTCTGGTCACTGTCGTGCTATAAAGAGGTAAAACTTACCACAAACCGCCACAGGTCGTACACTTGATGGCCTTCTGATCCAGATGCAAAATATCAGCTTGCGAAGTTCGGGTATGCGCAGAAAGCAAAATTTTGGGTTTAAAAGGGACACAGCAGTCTTGACTTTTACTTTTCGCTTTCTTTCCTCCCCTCTTTTTTCGCTTTTCTTGCCTCTTTTTTTTTTCTCTTGCTGGGCATTTAGTAGGCTTCATTTTGGTGGGAAGAGTTTTTAGGAAAGCTTTTAGGATCTTAGGATTAGGTGAAAGGAAAGGTAGGTGGGCAATGGAACAAGATTTTCATGGAGATTTTCAGGTCAATGTTACATGGTTTTTTGCCTCTTTCTCCGGTGTCCTTGACTGAATTGTGCTCATTCTGGTGTGGTTTGAAAGATCTCTTTACTCTGCACAAGCTAGCGGACAAAGTTGTCCTTGACCGTTAAAACTGATGACGTCACAAAGGGTAGAAAAGACGTGGATCCGCACGGGCGGTTACGGCCGGTTCAGGGGCGAATGGGTTAATAAGCCTGTTTCCCACATTGTCTGTATTTGGTTTGTGACATTTTCAGATGCTGTCTGCACGAGGCTTATTCAGTTGATCCCGAATAGACCCCAGACAAATTTTTCTCTGCAGACGTGTAATGCTTGTTCAACTCTTTTTTGTTGTGAAAATGGCGCCAAATATGCGATGCTGGTATCTGATGCAGACCAGTTGCTGATAATAATAATAATAATAATAACGCGAATATTTATACAGGATAACCTATCAGTTCTAATAAAAAGAACTGTTATCAAAAGGGTCCTGTAATTATCTCATAATTAGCTAAAAAATAAAAAATAAAATCGAAAAAGGAAAATAGAATAAAATAACACTAAGAAATCTAAGATTTAAAAATCAAAATCTGTAAAAATCATCGACTTACAAGACTGAAAAGAGTATGAATTATGGAATACTATTGAAAAAAATTGTTTTAAATTACTCTTAAAAAGAAACCTAGAGTTTACAGTTCTTAAATGCCGAGGTAAAGTATTATAAACTAGAGCCCCTTGAAAGGCAAAACTTCTCCGTCCAAATTCTAATTTGGTTTTGGGAAGTTTTAGTGAACACCCATTGTTTCTAGTGTTAATGTTGTGTTCAATTTTTGTAAAATATCCTTTAAAAGGGGTACAGACATTATCCTGAAGACAATCAAACACAAGCTGGCAGGACTGCCTCTTTATTAAACTCTCCACTGTCTGGACTTGATAATTTCCACCAATGACTTTCTGACTTCGACGTTCAATGCTTTCAATTCGACTCTTACGGGAATGTGACCAACAGAGACCCAAAGTTCCACAGTACGTAAAAACAGGTTGAATCATTGCTTTGTAGATTTTCTCAGCACTGCTCTTGTCGATTAAAGGTCGGATTCTCCTGAGTAAATTAAATCTTCCAGCTGCTCTTTTATACATTTTGTCAAAATGTGATTCGAGATTTAAGGATGAATCCAAGTTTACACCCAAGTATTTATACGATGACGTGGTATTAATCAGTGTTCCATTTACAGTCAAGGCTAGTTGTCTTCCATTCAATGCATTAAGCCTTTTGGCAGTACCAAAGATCATACACTCAGTTTTGCCCTTTTTTAGATTAAGGACAAGCTCATTATCACGAAACCAAGAAGACAGGTTGTGGCAATCTTCACTGAGATGCCTTTGAATGGATTCCAGATCTTTAGCAGCCGTGAAAATTACTGTATCATCCGCATAAGTGATGACTGAGGTTGACTGAAGAGGCGTATGCACATCATTAAAATGGATAGTAAACAATAGCGGACCCAATATACCTCCTTGTGGAACTCCAGAAAATATGGGATTGGCATCTGACAAAGCAGATCGTGTTCCAGATCATATGGGAATCAAGCTTATACCTTAAATGTATCATAAGTTATCAATATTGCAGTTCACATATTAATTATTGTATTATTATCAAATCTAAGTATTTATTGTCAAATACAAAGAACATTAAAACTAATTCTCTTTGCAAAACTGAGTCTGATTTTTTACATTTGAAACGATCCTTGTCGTTAGTTAAATACATTACAAGTCTGCACATTTTTTCTTTTTTGAGATGAACTTGTGCGATTCATCCTGATCGACTATAGTCTTCCCAAAGTTGTTTTGCTTTTTAAAGGGAAAGAAATTTGAAGTTTACAATGCTGAAAGCAGAATCATAGGGCAGGTAAACACCTCTCCCCCTCTCCACTACCATTACCAACACCAACCCAAAAACTTACGTACCGATTGTCGCGCTGCCCGCCATCTTTATTATAAGAACGTATAAATTTGGGACTATTACTGGGTATATATTTATCAATCGGGATTTGATAAGTTTTTTAAAAAAAGTGACACAAGACATCTCACAACGTACGTCAATTTTAATTCTAGCATTTTGAACCTTTTTACAGTCTAAAACTCTTCAAACAATGTTTGTTGTGACATTTACAGCAACTGTTTGGTGTCGGAGTCACTGTACATTGGTTTCACCAACAGCTTGAATGTTTGTTTCTCCCTTTTTCGCTTTTTTTCTCAACGTTAAAGAACTGATAATTTAAAGCCCTTTTCAAAGTTGAATTTCCACATATCGTGCAGGCTTTTCGAACTTCTTTACATCAACACTTCATCTCTCATCCGCCCAATACCAGCATCTTCCTCGGCGTTAGCTCCCATAGTCTGCAAAAACAGAAATAATACCTAAATTACTTTTAAATAACTACATAAATTTATTAATTAAGAAACAAATCAACATTTTTCAGCAAGTGAGCTTTTTAGTTATTATAGGAGGCAGCGTGGCCGAGTAGTTAGAGCGCAGGACTGAGGCCCCGAGTTCACGTCACGCTCTGACCGTTTGCTGGATTTGTTCATGGTAGTTCCGAGTTCAAATCCTCTGCGTCGCTTAGTTATTATAGAAGGCAGTGGGCCGAGCAGTTAGAGCGCTGGACTTGCAATTCTGGGGCCCGAGTCCCGCTCTGACCACTAGCTGGATTTGTTTTCGGTAGTTCCAAGTTCCAATCCTCGGCCGTGTTTGTAAATAGCCAGCTGGTTTGCCTCACTAGGCCAGTTGGGATTCTTAACCCTGTTAAGTGCAAGTTGAATTATTTGTTTCAAGCATTTGCTCGTCCCCACTAGCATTAGTACTATATATAAGTTCTCTTTTTAACCTCTGCGCTGCATGGTTTCAGTGATCTTCTAATGAGACCAAGGGACTTATTTCTAATAAGACCAAGGGACTTATTTCTAATAAGGCCAAGGGGCCTATTATTTGCCTTTGCAGCTATTTTTAGAGCAGTGAGTGAGCACCCCAGCGACCGGTTTCGGTGCACGTAACTCCCAGGTAGTCGCATTCAGGGACTTTTGTTAATGCCTCAGAATTTGCAGTATATGTGAAGCTGGAGGGTTTCCGTTTCTTTGTAATACAAAGTATATGGCACTTAGTTACGTTAAAGTCCATCTGCCAATCAGAAGCCCATTTAGTTACGTTAAGTAGATCTTCCTGGAGCACTTGATGGTCATGTAGGGAATTAATGGTCCTGTAAAGCACAGTATCATCAGTGCCCGTGTCATAGCCTTGTTGGAAAATGAATGTCAAAATGCTTGAAATCTCAGCGGACAGGTCACGTAGGCAGCGTGGTGAGATACCATCTGGGCCAGCTGACTTTGATGGATTTAATGAGGCAAGTTGTTTGAGAACACCATTGGGGGAAAACACTATGTCCCGCATGTTATTAATATAAGCAAGAGTGGATGGTGAGAAGGCAGGAAGCAAGCCTTTGTCTTTGGTGAACACACTTTGAAAATAGTCATTCAAGGCTTGTGCATTATCTTTGTCAGAGATAAATATTGAGTGTCCTTGGCGCAATATAGGTATGCCAAAGTTCTCAGACCGCAAGCGCTTGATAAAGCTCCAAAATCGTTTGGGATTTTCCTGTAGGCTTCCCCCAATCACATTATTAAGATAGTCATTCACTGGGCGGTCTTAAGTAATTCACCACTTTGTTTCTTTAGCAGCGATATTCAAGCCACGCTGGTGAGTTTTTGTCACCCGTGCGCCTTGGTTTTTTAAGAAGGCGGTCCCGTTTACGCATTTGACCCTTAACTCATCTTGTAATCCAGGGGAGCGACTATTACTATAGTAACTTACCTTTTGTACGTATTGAGGATTGGTGGCAAGTTCACGGTCCATATGTTGCAGCTTTTCATCGAGATGCTGAAATAGTCGCATCTAAAAACAACACACAAAAACAACAAAAAATTAAAAACTAACGCTCTGTCATTAAGGTAAGTGCAGTGATCCACTTCAAGAATCATGACATTATAATTATTGCTTACGATTCATCTGGATGGCCAGCTATGATTAACAGACAAGTGGAATTCTCTTTCCCCTGGATTGATCTGGCCGCCCAGTTCTGACGGAGAGCGGTCGTTTCGATACGAACTCAAGCAGTGAAATCGCACAAAACATTTTGTTCACTTCAAGTAATTAAGTTTGCATGAGAACAAGGGAAACATTTTGGGTGAATATTCTCCGTTCTTTGAGCCAAGTACATGGAGCTATTCACACCTCAACATAAGGGGGTACTCCCTATGATGGCCTATACGGGGAGGCTCCACCCGAAAGGGGTATCTTTTTTCATGATTCAGGTATATGAAAGGGTAGAGAAATCTGTCATTTGGGTCTGTGAAAGGCCCCAAAAGGGCTAACAGATGAATTTTGTGGCTTTATAAAATCAGAAAACGTTCTATTTTTGTGATTGATTCCTGTTTCACGGACAGTGCATTTACAGCAGTTAAAAGGGATGCAAAGTTCTAAACAAGGTATGTGAAAGAGGTATTATTTGTGAATAGAAGATATACGAAAGGGGTACCTTTTTCGAGAAAAATGGTATATAAAAGGGTAAGGGGTTGGACCTCGGGGCGGAGCTTCCCCGTATAAACATTTGTTGGGTACCCCCTTTCCCCGGGCCTCGAATGCGTAACCGTTCTGACCAATGGTAAGTGCCCTCAGATTCAGCTGTGGGACGATTAAGCTTCTAATGCGCGTGTTGGCGTCGGTAGGAAGCTATTCCTTCCACCCCTTTTCCATTGCTGGTGTGGTTCTTGTGACTGTGTTTTTTTGGTGTACCATCCTTTGCTTTCCCCAAGAGAGTCAAGCCACGGGGTTTTCGTCTAATCCTTGGTAAGTAGACTGCGTCAATTGTTCAAGTCATTAGTTGCTGGCGAGGTGATCGGATACCCCCAAAAGAGTTTCAGTAGTAAACAGACCATCAGACGACTATAAACCTAAACCTACCGGTATATTTCTTATTTTGTGGGGTTAACATACCTCCCTGTCTAACTTCTTTAACATCTTTGGATTATTATATTTTTCAGGATTTTGGTGAAAAGAAACCATTCCATCGCGCTGATTAATGCTGGCATAAATATCTCCATCTTCTATCTAAATTAAATAAGAAACAGACCAAAAAACACTTCAACTGACAATGCACATAATATACTTATTATTAAAATAACTTAACTGGTCTACAGCATTTTTGTTTTATTGCCTCGTTCCTTTTTTATTTGTTAATAGAATCTCGCCACGAGAGCAATAATTCAACTCAATCTTTACTTTACACCACACATACGTTAAATGAGATTAAAAGTAGGAAATAATAAGTGGCCAAGAGACCTCAAGAAACCCTAAGATATCCTATTTTTTATGTATTCAAACTTGCTTTTTTACATACAATATATCAAGTGATGGGACTATAAAGCGTACATGACAGTTTCACACTTTTCACACAAAAAGTAAGTAAGGAAGGACTTTAAATGTGGAGAACTGGTAATCAGAAGTGGTCAGACATTTCTTTTTTGTTTTTTGTTTTATCTTGATAAGGCATACCATACTATTCCAGTTTTATGGTACCTAGTGACCTGGGCCCACTTGTTGGAATGCCGGTTAGCGCTAATCCAGGGTTAAATTTTAAATCTGGGATACTTTATCTTTTTATCAAAAGCACTCTCTTGTATAGTTTTCTCTATTCTTTTCAGAGTATCCAATCTTCAAAATCTTGCTTTTTAAGCTCTCATATCTGAGTTCAAATTTTGCACTAACCCTGGGTTATCTTAACCCAGCTTTGAACAACCCAGCCCTGTTTGATATTATTTTGTCCACAGACATAAGGCCATAAGGGAGTTGAAGCTCTGATACCATAACAATATAATTATGAATTTGTCACCTCCACTTAAGTTTCAGAATATCCCTGTCAGCTAAATCAGTTCTTGTTATACCCACTACTCAACTTTATGTAGGTGCAATAACAGGAATAACAGATTGAATGGTATTATACTCTATTATCACAACAAACCATGTTTAATATGTACTGCTCAGCTTCTCTTGGGCTGCTTAGTTGTACTCTGTTAGCCATGTCTGCTAAGGAAAGGGTCAGAAATGTCTAGAAGAAAACAAATAGATAAGTCACATGTACAAACAGATACAGCTTCAGTTTACAAATTTGAGCATCTTGTTTCTGAAAATGAAGGTTTCACACTGAAATCTGCAACCCTTATCAAAAGGAGTATTTCATTGCATTGTGTTGCAACATAGTGTTAGTACTGTACTGTCGACAGGTTAGATATTGGATCAATAATATTATTATTTCTTTCATATTTTAAAGACCGTCAGATTACTTGCAATAGAATTTGACTACACAGCAGCTATATAAGTACTGTACCTTTGTAAGTCTAAGTATGTTTTTCTTGTATAGTGAGCTGACAACTTGCTTGACCAGGCCAACATTGTTGTCCTGTCAATAAAAAAACATTTCAGTAAATTGACAGAACCATTCAAAGATCAATGGATCAACTTACACATCAACTTACAGTTCTAAATGTCTCCTCATTTTTAGTGGCCACTGCTAGCACTTCATTGGGGTTGTTTGATGTGTAACTTGCTGCAAGTTCATGATATGCCCCACTCAAAGGCTGAAATGAAAACAAGATCTAAGAAATTACAAAATTCTGGATGGCAGTTAAGCTGCAAATGCATTTTCAACCATTTGGCAGATGTAAGGCTTTACACATACAGTAACTTAACAAAATAAAGCAAGTTTGCCTTAGCTTTTTCTGTACAGTCAATGTCAATAAAATAAAGGCTTTGAAAGCAACAGTTGCACTACATTTGGGAAATTTTTGGCAACTTGTTGCTTTTGCCTTGTGGCCCTGTTGTTGCAAGACATGTTACATAAGACATTGCCTAGCATAAAATTTCTTGTAATTTTTGTCACAACAAGTGAAAAATTATATCCAGTGTTACTGCAGTTGTTGCAAGAAGTAGAACTTGATTCTAGTTTGTGTAATGTGTGCTGCAATGAACACAAGTCATTGTGAGACACGTTTTATTCCAGGAGTTGTTACTAACACCACGCAATTTTTTTACATAAACTTTTAAAAACATGGTTTCTTAGAAACTTTAATTCTTGGCTGCAATAATCCATGTGAATACCATCTGTTATTAATTATTTCTTTCTAATCTTACCTTCAGGAATCTCATGATGACATGTGAGGTATATTTTGGAAGATCGATTATCTGTTGAGGTAAAAAGATTGTTAAAATTTACACAAAATTAAAATGAATCAGTCAATATTAAGAAATTAATGTCTAGCCTACAGGAAAACAATGAGATTTGTTTCCCCCAGACACTCATTGTCGGCCCAAGGTGAGTTTTATTTTACCTTCTGACTCAATCTACAATTATTTACAAAAAATGATCTTGTTTTCATTTAACTACAAGATTAGTGGGTCAGCCATGACTACAAAAAAATATTAATTTGTTTGGCATGAGTGGCATAGATTTTCCATGGTTTCAAGATACATGATCCAGTGTAATCCCCTAGGGTCATTTTTAGCGATCTTGGTTTGCTGTTTGCCCTAACAGAAGTTCGTGTGTTTTGACACCTGAGAGGTGACATGATCTTGTTCAATCAGAAAACTGGCATGAGCATGAGATAGCAATGATAATCAAAACCTAACACAACATACAAGTTGAAGAAGTCAGCTTGAAGAACTGGCCCAAATGAGTAATTGATTCTGTGGAAAAATATTATTGCTAACTTCTGGAAAGATATTTTGTAGAACCCTTAAGACGCACTATCGGTATATGAGTTACTTTGCACGTAAATACATCAGAAGTAAGTCTCACCTTTCCATGAAGGATCAGAGACACTAGAATAAACTTTTTGTAAGCTTCCAACATGATATGGCTTACATCCACTGCTGGGCATGTCACAGCCTATAAATAAAAAAATAACTGTTGTTCTAATGCTTTCTTAATCTATACTTACAGAGTATGAAATAAAGGATTTTCACTAGGTTGTCTCTAAAGGCTGGTTTTCACTGGCGACAGAGTCGGAGTCGGAGTCGTAATCAGAAGCGTAGAGCTTATGATCTAGTGAAAACAGCGTTCCGATTCCGCTTACGACTCCGTCGCTTACGTTCCGCTTATGATCTAGTGAAAAACAGATTGTCGGAGTCGGAGGCAGAAGCAGAAGAACCGAACCAATCACAAAGCGTGGGAACGTGCATTGTGATTGGTTTATCCTTCCGCTTCTGCTTCCGACTCCGACAATCTGGTTTTCACTAGATCATAAGCGGAACGTAAGCGACAGAGTCGTAAGCGGAGTCGGAAGAAATGGAAACATTCTGATTCTTCTGACTCCGATTCCGTCGCGCTTATGACTCCGCTTACGACTCCGATTTTTTATTTTCACTAGGTCATAAGCGCCCTTACGACTCTGCTTACGACTCCGACTCCGACTCCGTCGCTAGTGAAAACCAGCCTTAAGAAAACAAAAGACCTACTGTACATATACAAGATAGTATTACTGATCCAACAAGCATACCACTTCAAAAAAGTACAATGCTTTCTCAAACTTCTTTAGAGCAGTGTAGATCATTCCTCCATAATAACAATATCCAAGCAGTGCTTTGGCATCATATTTTCCACCCTAAAGAAAAACCAAAAGATGTACACTGTATGGTGACAAAGTTTTAACGTACCAAATAATGAAATTCTACAACAAAATTAATACGAGGCTGCGAATAACAGCAAAAATCATCACCGTTGAAGGGATCCTGATGGGTTCTGAAAGCTGTGCCAAACTTTCAACAAATTGTTCAATGGAGTTGAGGAATATTTTTTGTAAAATTAATTCAATTCATTTCAAATTAATACCAAGTGAACAGGCCAGTGTCACAGGAGGCAACTCCTGTGCAATGTCTATTGAGTAGGGATGCCAGATTAATGTTGAGCTTCCTGCTGGAGAGCTGAAATGCACACTAAAGCCTGATAAAAGGAATATCAGGAAGATTTCTGCTATAAGATACCTGTTTAGAAGGAGGTCCCCTAATGAGGGCTTTCTGAAGAATGGGGAACAGGTTTTCAGCTTTTAAGGAGGTGTTGATCATTAGTTGACTAGTATGTCTTCATTAACTTGTGGAGGTTTGATTATTTTTGTATGCTGGTTATCAGCATGCTAGAATAAAACATACCTCTTTATGTATGTCTGTTATATCGGTATCTAGGAATGGCAAGGCTGGCTTCAGACATTTGGCAAGTAAACAAAGCTGTTGAAAGTGAAAAATGACCATTTTAATACACAATCAACAGCTGCATAGCTAAGTGGAGCTGGGTGCCAGGGATGTCCAGGACCTTACACTTTATGCAAAGCCAGCCCCTAGACAGAGTTATGCCCCCATGGCTGGCAAACCCTCACCTTCCAACCACGAGCTCCCACACCAATGGAACCAGCAACTGTCACACTGATATATTGGTGAAAAATAAAGAGAAGGAAGAGGTGGGGAAGAAGGCACAATCCAAAGGCTAAACAAAGCAAGAGAGTGCAATGAAAGCATTGTACTAAACACATGGAGCTAATGCAAGCAGGGCTGATTACGCTTGCACCACCACACTGACCCACTGACCGACAACAAGAGACTGTACTCCTTGTTGTTAACAGTATTAAATTTCATTTAACTTCATTAATCTTGCATCATAAACACTTATACAAATGAAGCATTAAAATCTTCACTCCTTTATTTGAAAAGACCCATGTCAGTGCAGTTAGTATGCAGCTTTTAAAAACCTCTAATTTCACTGGTTCTCCATAACATGCAGCTCCATAATTTTAGAGATAGAGTCATTGTTATATTTCTATGTCTCTTGTTTTCACAGCTAATACTGTGAGGTCTTGTAAAGAGCTGTGTGGTGCCCCTGTCATTGAGAAGAGAGACATACAATAAACCATCAATAATGTTAAGCAGGTTACCAAAAACATGTTTGCAAGTTCAAAATGTCCTCTAACAACCTACAGTGCATGGTGTGTACACCATGCATTCAAGGGTACAAACTTATAATAATTATTAGTTAGTCAACTTCAGTCCATTAAGCTGACTAAACTAAAATAATTTTGCAGAGCCACAAATAACAGTTGGTCATCAAGACAATGACTTAACCATGTCGATTGTCCAACAAAGTCTTCACTGCAGTTGGAAATGATGACTAGACAGATCAAATACTACCAAAGATTATCATTTAGGCATTTAAGATCTGCATAGTTTATTATGTGTGGTCAACAAACTATTTGATTTGACTAGGGTGACCTGGTCAGGACATATGTCCTTTCTAAAGACAAAAGTTATTTGCAGCCCTGTTTTGCCTGCAGGCTGAAGAGTTAGCCCTTCCGACTTTCTTACATGTATACAGCTATTTTGAGAAATGTTGTCGGAAAAAATGTGGAGGGGACAATCCCTAAAAGAAATATGGGATATGATCAATACACTGTTCCTAACGACTGTAGCTTTCGAACCTACTTTTGTTGCTTTCCATTAGCACTCGCAGACATTTGTCGGTTGCCTTTCATGCCTTTCTTTCAAATTTCTTTGGAGAACAGGGCAGACTTAAACCACCCACAATACCTTTTGGGATTGTCACGTGCACTTTTTCCAACAACCTTTCTCGAAACAGCTGTATATGATTTCCTGAACCAAACAATGCAAACACTCACAAATTCTGTTACCTGTGTAAGATCCGTGTGAATTGATGTGAGTTGAGTTGAAGACTGTTGAGCTTTTTGTATAGCAACACACATCATTCTTATCCCTCGCATTGGCTGTGAAAAATAGTGGAAAAACAAAACCTTAAGAAACTGAGTGCAACGCTCCTGTATGGACCACTGCTTTATATAAACACTGCTTGCAGCAGGAGGTTTTCCTTGTTTCATATATATTTCATATATTTTGCCTTGCCCTACATTAGTTGATTAATATAGATACCAGTTAAGACAGATAATGGACACTGTTTGGCAGTGTTCTCCTTAAATTTTAGCCCAGCAGGTAAGGGACCAGTCATGGCCGGCAAGGCAAAATATATGCCCCAGAGGTGCACTTTCCTCTGGGGGGGGGGGGGGGGGGGGGGGGGGGGGGGGGGGGGGGGGAAAGGAAGGGGGCCAAACCCCCACGGGAAATTTTATGAGTTTTGGGGAAAGTTTCTCTGAAACGTCATCCCCCCTTTTTTCGATTTTTTTTACAAAACTGCCCCTTTTTTTTTAATAATATATACACCGTAAAGAAAGGAAAGGGCACTTTTGTGGGATGGTTTCCTCTAAATTTTGGCCCGGAGGGGAGGGGGACCGTCAGGGGGGGAAAGGAAAAAATAAGGGCCGGGGGGGGGCCTTTGCGGGGGGGGGGGGGGGGGGGGGGGTAGTGGAGGGGGGTAGTGGAGTAAGAGACATGGCCAAACCCTCACTGGAAAATTTATGAGTTTATGAGCTAAGTTCTCTGAAACGTCATTCCCTCATTTTACGACTTATTTTACACAAATCGGCCATTGTTATCTTAAGACAACAATTTTATTTAAGACATTTGATTGCAATAATTTTACTCTGTCTTCAATGTTCTCTTTCCAAAATGCGTGCCCCATAAAAAGAAAAGCTGTGTATACTTTTATTTTTCATAAATCGTATCGAACACCAAACCCAACTACAATCAATCGACGTTTACGGTTTTGGTTTTCGATACGATTTATGAAATGGCACCCAAGTACTTTTTCATATATTCATTCATTTCCTTGATCGGATTGGATCACAACTTGCGCGTCATATCAATAATGTACCTTCCACCTTGTATCAAGGGCTGTTTATAAGGGTGGTGGGCCACATAGCTTCTAGAAAAAACATTGCTAATATTGCCAATGTTTACAGTATGATTTTTACCCCTTATCCCCTACCCCTTACCCCCGGATTAGCCGTGCCGATCTTGTCCTGCAAAAAAATTATTGTACAATAAAATACATGACATCCATGAAATCCATGTAAATGGCCTTTAACTCAAACTCATCTTATACATCTCACTTGTTGAGGAGATGTTATGACCCTTCAACACAGCATGGTCTTGACATCCCTGAACATTATGCAAAAATGTTTTTACACAGCTTTTAATGGTTACTGCTGATAAGTAACAGATAAATTTGGCGTTGAAATCAAAGATTGAACATGCATACCTGTTTAAGGTCCACCAGGCATTGTGTTATGAAGTGACAAATATGAGCGACTAGAAAAATGGAAATAACAAATATTTTGACCTTGAAATTAAAATTAATACTGAGAAAAAAGCACAATGGACATTTACGAGAAACTTACACTTTTCCCCAGCAAACTGAATTTGTTCCTTGGAACAAACAGTTATAAACTGTTGAATCTGACTAAAGAGTAACTCAAAATCTCCATAATTTGGCAAAGACAATTTAACCAACCTAAAGAATAAATTTAAGATATTCTTCAGTTAAAATGGTCTCAAGAAAAAAACAAAAAACGGTACCAAAATTAAGCATGAAATTATTAATTAAGCTAAATATGTGCAGAGAGGAAAACTTGTCGTGTATCTTACAAAAGTGCCATAAAAGCCAGCGTATGTTGATCTGGATCAAGAGATGCGATGGCAGCGTCAATTTGACCTGCGTACTTAGCAAGTAACTCATTAGATCTGTTTAAAAAATCTGCCAGCTGAACATAATTTTTGTCAGCAGAAATTGATCGCACAGTTGCTAGAAAGTCCTCCATGTTTCTTTTTCCCCCACTCTCTCGACCTAGTTTCCCTCGGTTGAATACTTCAAGTCGAGGGTCCAAAGAAAATGGCGGTGAATTTTGACTGACTTTCTCTTTATGATGTGTCAAAATGCCTTTGCAGCCGTTTGAGATTGGCAAAAAGCCAGACATCCGCCTGGTTGTTTACGGAGATACCATTTATAAGATAAAAGTGACTTGCAGACAGTCTTCTGATAGGTAAGCAATCATGATTTTACTCAGGAACACATTGACGTTTGTCTCTCAGCTATGCAATGCTCGTTGCAAATGTCCGAATTTACGAATTTACAAGTGCCATTGACAAGCTAATTAACAAACGCAACTTGACAAATGAAAAGATCTTGCAGAGGTTTGGATGATCACAAGACACGGAGAACTCTTTACTGTGCTCTAGTATTAAAGATCAATCAACTTTTGAATACTGCTCTTTGATAATGGTCCACTCAACAACAAACAACAACAACAAATTAAAAAGCATTAAAAAGCAAAGAAAGGCTTCAGAAGAGTAATACTTGTGATTGTGGCCTTTTGTTTTCAGGATTTAGCTTAAAGGAAAACCTGAGCAGGCTTATATACTACTGGTCTAGCCTGTTGTTTACTTAACCTGAAAATTGTTTTCTGGTGCCAACCTTAGCAGTGAAACTGTTTTAGCCATTTGTGATCAAGTTCCTTTTTTAAAACAGTAATTTTTTGTGCTTTTCTAACAAAACAGAGAGAGTATTCGTAAATTATGCCAAGAAGAAAAGAACCATAAAGATTTGGAGGTTAGTCTATAAGCAGTTATGTCTTAAATATTTCATTTGTGTGGCTTGTTTTAAATTCTTAAACCATACAATCAGGGTCACGTCTGTTTTCCTAAATAAGCTAGGAAGGTAGAATGAAGAATGGCAGTCAACTTTTTTGGGCTATGTAAGCAAAAAATTTTAAACTGATTTTGTTTACAGTGTACCCTAGAATTTACATCCCTAGTGGTCCAAAAGTTGTGATTCATTATTTGGAATACATGTATATATAACTCATTAGAAGCTGCATTTTATGTAATAATTGTTTATGATAATATTGTTTTAATATGTTTCCTGAGCAAGTGTTTTGTTTCTCCTGTTAGAGAGTTGTCTGTGCAATATTAAGTTCAGATGATCTAACACCTGTGCAGACAGACAGTTTTGTCATCTATCCATGTATCCTTTTTGTTATTTTATTAGCACTACTGTTTTGCCTAAAATCTTATGTTTTGACCACTCACCTAAAACTCTGTCAAGAGTGTATTTAAACTCTCAACAAACATTAACTACGTGTGTTTCACAGTGTGTTTCTGCAAATTTCATGGTGAATTGTCGTCTCACTGTTTTGGGTTCCTGATGATGAGGGATGGTGCAATCTCACACCTCAGTTTATCTAATCATCTAAATTGCTTTATCCAGAATAAGTCTCATAGTTGAAGGGGTGTGTGCCTTTTGTTTCTTTTTTAATCAGAAAAGGTAGTTTCATAACACCAAGAGTCACTTTCACACACCCCTTCAGTTAAAGTACCTAATTTAATCTAAGCAATAATATATTAGTCTGTTAAAGAGTCTCTTAATGTTGTGAACCTGATTTGATACATGAATGTGTAACAAGAATTATTGGTTTCTATGCCTCGACCAATGATAATTTAAAAACTAACAATTATTTAAATTTGAAAAGAAACTTGATAATCATGTTAGACAGAACCCGTTGGGAGACCAGGGAAAAAATCCTTTTTTCTCGACATGGCCAGACACTTGAAGCGCACAAGTATGCATTCACCTTGTATGTGGAAGAGAAGCAGGCAGGTCACAGACCTCAACTAGGTGTGTAGCAACCATAGCTTTACTTCCATCTGGTGGTATTCGGCTGTCAATAAAATTGTATAATAAACCCTTCCACAGTTTTATTTAACTTCTGACTTGAACCAGTTAATGAAAATCCATCAGCAGGGCCAATAAGAACGAGTCAAAATTAATAGAGATGCCAAGTTTGAACGTGATGTGTATATAAACTACATTGTTTAATGAAAGTCACCAAATTTTGCAGACTTGTATGGTGGCAGGCAAGTGCATGCCACCCTTCATAGAGACATCACTCTGTAAAATTTGGCAACTTTGTGAAGCAATATTCTCACTCACTTTACCATATATTTACCTTTAAACTTGGTAAGTTTCCTAATTTTAAGGCACTCTTTCAACAGTGTCAATGGATATTTGCCAACTGGTCTTTATCAAACCTTGAAAAAACTGTGAACGAGTCTATTTGTTGTAAATTTATCATCTCTGTCCATAACTATGTTTATGTGTGGTTTGTAATGTTGACAACTTTTAGGGAGAACTTCAGAGAAGGATGAACAGTCAGATGAAGCAAAAGAGGTACAATTTTTTGTTATTTTTCATTAACTAGAACTTTCCTCTTCATCCTCATCTTCTTTGGATTCTTGAACTGTATTTATCAGGCTTTTACTACTGACTTCTATTTACTTTTCTTCAGTCTTACCACTCTCTATCAGTTATTAAAGTTACACTTAGTGGTGCGATGCCAAAATCATGGTTTAATGAATTTATGATTATAGAAACAGTTAGGCTTTTGATTGTCAAAATCACCTTCGAAACTAAGTGGAAAAATCCAAGATGAGCACAGCTCTATTATACAATGTTCTTAAATGAGACGAAACAGAAAATTGAGCTGGAGTTGCAAGAAATTGGAGTTTAGGAGAGCAAGAAGCAGAATTTTTGTTAGCTGCCGCCTCTTCCTACATCTTCAGGGTTACAAAGGGTTGTGGACTAGAAACTTGTGGTGAACTGACAGGTCATCAAAATTTAAGCTCTTCAAATTTTCATACTAGATGCTATTTCAGACTTCAGCTACCCCAAGTTTACCCAAGGCAGTCTAGTGTTTTCAGTGTAGCTATTTAGCAAGAGTTAAATCGTTTTATGCAAGTTCCTAAGGATTGACCTGACTTTCCCATCCCTGAGTTAGAATAATCAATTTTGGTCTTAACCATTCGTCTGTAATATTCAAAGATTTAACTGTGGTATGTAAAGATTGATTTAAGACATCAACTTTAGTGGTCTAGTAGGAATTACCCTTCATACTGCAATTTCCCTTCGGTGTTTAAGCACAGTAATTAACCAGTGTGTCCAAATTTAATGTGCTGCAGCCTGTCAATGTTGCTGACGAGAGAATGGATATGCCCCCTACGAGTTCATCAACAGTGAAAGGTTGGTTGACTCTGCAAGTTAACCGATATAATATCATAATTATTGTTGTATTATATTCCTGACAGTCTGAATCAAGCCCACATTGTTTCTTGCTAGGTTTTTCCTTTTTTGGCTAGGCTGGTTCATTCAAACCAAAAAATTATTGTAATTGTAGGTGATGAAACAAAATACTTTCCAACAGTTACAAATGACTTTTGGAACATTCAATCAGAAAAGAGAACTTGGTGTTTTCTACTTCTGCAACTGTAGAGGGCACAAAGATGTTTCATTGACAAAAATCAAGAACAGTGCATTAGATCACATTCACCTTATCTGGAAAGGGTCAAGTTTCAATGGCAATCAAATTCACAACTGTTTTAAAGTGGAAAGTATGTGGGAGGTGTGATAATTTTTGACATGCATAGAGAATTTTATTTTTTGGAAGGTGAAAAGTGGTTTTCAATTTTGTTGATATTACCATAGTTAGTATGATATTACGGTACGTTTGTCCAGCTGGAATTAAGCTTTCTTGTTGCAAAACAACCAGGGATTGTTTCTGTGTAAATTTGTATATGATTGAATACTAGTGACTGAGTATGGACAGAAGAATCGACATGATGTTGAAGAGAAAGATTTGAAAGAGTTTCTTAGGTTACAGAAGTTAGCAAGTGAAGATGATGAAGAACAAACAGATGGTAATTATTTGCTGATTGTTTAACTGTCTAATACGATCATGCCATAAGTCAAGAGAATCCAAATAGCAGGTCAAGCAACGTTTCAAAAAAAAATCTTACCAAAAAGGAATCATATGAATCATGGTATTTTAAAATAGTCACAACATTTATAGGATCTCATTAGGCTCGATTACCAGCCGTTGTTCTGGAAATGAGCTCGTGCCCCTCCCCCGAACAGACCGAGCCTGGGATCTCACCTGCTTGACAGTTAGAATATCAAGGATCTGACCTTACATTTGACCTGGACGTAAATGGATACATGCCCATGAAAATTTCCATCATTGCGGGAGGAAGGTACAATGTATGAGTCTTAACCTTTCCGTTTCGAAAATTTTGAAAATGTTTCTTTTTTTCTCTCTCTTTTCACAAAATCAATTATAACGGTAATTCAATCAATATTCTAAGATCTTTATTTCTTTAATTAGCACCAGCCGTAACCATTAAAGCAGGTAGTGCTATAGCTGAAAAACTTCTATGTACCAGCAATTTTTTTTCTGCAGATTCTGAGCCACAAGAGGAATCTCCCTCAGGACTTCAGAGAGTATTCAAGTAAGAAAACTTCAAATTTAATTTATATCAAGTTAGTAAAACTTTGATATTATAATACAGTAGAACAATACAAAAACTTTAATTAAAAGAGGGAGATGTGATCACCTTTTCACAGTTTTCGAACTTGAGGCCCTTTATAACAAAATAAATTAGAGGGAGAATATACAAAAATATGATGAGATGCTTTTGTTATGTCATTTCAGAGGCAACATTTAGTATAAATTCCAAATTAGTGATCGTTCGACACAAAACGGTAGTCAAATTTTTTTTTTTTCGTTTTACAGAGTTATCTGGTTATTAGTTGCGAATTAGATTCATTTCATATTTTGTTTATTTTTTCCAGTGCTTTGGTATCCCCAGTTCGCACATTCCTTGGACAGTGAACCAGAGTAAAGTTCCTAATAGTTTTGAGAATGTGATGATACTAATTTTTTTTAAAAATTGTGTTCTATTTGGCAAGAATTGAGTTACCTTAAGTAAATATTTTGATAACTATTCTTCTTACAAAAAATTCTTACAAAAGGTCTCCAAAATAATGACATTGATATTTGATAGAATTTTATTATTTAGAAAAAAATGTACATAAGACAAGAAAAGTTATATTTTATTTTAAAATCGCTTCTTTTTATTGTGAATCTAATTTTAAATACATGTGTATTATACATGTACATTAAAATGAATTATCGAACTAACCAAGTCAATTTTAAACTATTTCATGCAATACAGATTTCGCTGTCTTTTTGTTTGTGTTGTTGTTTGAGTGCTGTTAACGGTTCTACTAGAATGATTTTTGCGTCTTGCGATACATACTACACACTCGGGAAATATACTGAAAAAAAATCCGAGATGAGCACAGCTCTAAATTATACGGCCTAAATCAGATGAAACAGAAAATTGAGCATGTAGGAGTTGCCAGAAATTGGGGTTTAGGAGAGCAGGAAGCAGGATTTCTTGCTAGCTGCTGCCTCCTCCAACATCTCCAGGGTTACAAAGAGTTGAGGACTAGAAACTTGTGGTGAACTGACAGTATTCAGGTCATCAAAATTCAAGCTCATCAAATTTTCATGCTCGGTGCTATTTCAGACTTCCGCTACCCCAAGTTTACCCAAGGCAGTCTAGTGCCCTTGTAGCTATTTAGCAAGAGTGAAATCGTTTTATGCAAGTTCCTGAGGATTGACTTGACTTTGCCATCCCTGAGTTAGAATCATCAATTTTGTTGTTTGAGTGCTTTTAACGGTTCCACTAGAGTGACTTTTGCGTCTTGCGATACATACAACACACACGGGGATTTTACAAAGTTAGAAAGATATCTTTCTGTCACAGTTTTCTTAAAATACTTTACAATTGCAAGTACCGTAAGAATTAAACTTCACGCCTCAATCTAAGAGAAGGACATGGGAATTTATATTTTACTTTGTATAAAATTTTTAAAAAAAGTCATACTGGTGGACCAGTCTCGGTCTTTCATTCCTTTATGACAAATTGACTTGCATATTATCTTTTTGAAACCTCCAAAATAGAGCAGACACTTTTGGCAACAAATTGGTTACAACCTGGACATTTCAAATAGATTTAAAATAATTAAACTGAGATGTGCATGATGTGGGCGGAGATAGAGGAACGACTTCATGTTGGCAGTTAGAGCAGTTTGGTTTGAAAGGTGGAAAACAACATTTGTTGTTGGGTACACTGTAATATGGCGTAATGAGGGCCGTTAACAAAACCAGGATCGGATTGCTTGGATCGGATCGGATCGGATTACGGATCGGACTAGTGTCTTCGCTTTTGGTGCAGAAGAATTATTTTGACAAAAGCTGCTTTAACAATGACACAGGTGGCTCGGAATAAGAAAGCCGAGTTCTCACAACGTGAGTCTAACCGGTTCGACTCGGATTTTTTCTTCCGAGCCGCCTGTGTCACTAATACCAAAAAAATAGTTTCTCATGTATCACCAGGCTTAAAATTCACCATCAGCTTTAAAATCATCGCAAAGAATTATTTTCAACTGAACTGCACTGGGAAATTTTCTGTTGCATAACTTCATACGATTACAATTCCAAAAAGAGGCTTGGTCACGTGACGTCTCCCGAATCGAAGATGGCGGACAGAGATGTACGTATCTCTCATTGCAATGATTTTGTTTTTCTTTTCATCTCCACTCTCTTCTGAATTGGTCTTCTTTCTCACTGAGCTTGGATTGAATGCTTCTTTTCAGAGGAGACGATTAAGAAAATCGCGGTAATAAGCAAGGTACGATAGCGACGACTTGTTGTCAATAAGCGAATGACATCTTAAATGTCACCTCCGTTCAAGTAGGCTCAGAAAATAACGAGATCACTTTACAATAAAAAAAAAGAAAAGAAACACTAAATTAGTTACAGAAGATTGTATACATACTCTTCTCTCCGCCATCTTCATTCCGGGGGATGTCACGTGACCATTTTGGCGGGAATTTAAGGCGAATTGTCAGTCCGATCCGATCCGATCCGATCCGGAGTCCGATCCGATCCACAATCCGATCCGATCCGAGCAATCCGATCCGGGTTTTGTTAACGGCCCGTAATGAGGCATTACTATGCTGAAACGTGAAGGGGATTCGTTTGGGCGAATGCAAAATCCTATGGCACACAGCCGGCAATGACTTTACGCCAAATCAGATCTATTTTCTTAGTTTATATTTAACTTCCAATTATTTAAATGAGAAGTTAATTGTCGCAATTCGGCGCGCCAAATTGATTAAAACATTATTTATTCCAATTTTTCTTGTGACACTTCTGTAAACAGCTTAGACACATTTAAGCCGCAAAATCGTCTTTCCATCAATTATACATGGAGAATAAAAGAGGCGATTATACAGCTAAATACACAGACAGCAACTTTTTAAAGATCTGATGGTTCCATTGGGTAATTAGTTCTGTACAGTCTTTTTCGCATGGAGAACAGGCAATATTATTTAAAGTCTTCTTACTCGAATGTCTTTTTTTGACGGCGATCTGAGTTTACAAGTTGATTCAGACCAAAGGTTATGTTTATATTAGTTCTTTCGTATTGAGCCTGTCAAATCAATATCTCTGCATGTATTCTAGAATACTCCTGTTACAAGATCTATTTTGTCACTGAAGCAGCTCTTGGAAGTCAGATTTGAAGACCTTGTGTTGTTTATATCGAAAGTGCATAATCTTGCGCTGGCTGTTGGCTGTTGTTGAGAGATTTATTTTTGTCTTAAGGAATTTCTTTTAATTTCGTCGGCTTTTCACGCTCCTTGTGCTTTTCGGCGGCTTCTTCCGGGTTCAAATTCGATATTAAACGTCACCAATCAAGCAACCTTTCGATTTTGCAGTGAATGAAATTAGTAGCATATTTTTTCGTAGCACCACACCGTTTTGTTTTCAATGAACCTTTTGAGTGAGATGGGTTTATCTACCTCCATAATGAAACGCCTGTAGCCATAGCTTGTCTTCTTCGCTTAATTTCTGCGGTCCAGAGAAATGGGAAGCCCGCGAAAGAAATGATCGAGTTGTTTTCTTGTGTTCTTCAGAGCGTTTATACAATTTCTGTTGCGATGTAGAACGACTTTGAGCGGAATCGCCACTATTGTCTTTTTGAAGATATCCGTTTCTGCTATCTGCAGCCCGCCGCAGCCGTTTTCTTCGAGGGAAAATAAACTGAAAACATCCTCCAATCAAAAACAGAAGTATAAATTCTGCTCGAGACATTGCCTAGAAGGCGAGTAGTCTTGTAACGTATAGCAAGGCAAGTGATATGAGAAAACTGAAGGCTGTTTCACCCGTGTAGCTGTCAGACGAAATAACCTTATTGTCAGAGTCTAGTAAGTGGTAGTAGGATGTGGATAGGCTTGTATAGAACGTGTTGGTATTCATGAATTAAGCAGTCTGAAGCGTTATCTTTCCCGCATCGCTTAATTGCGAAATCAGATAAACTTTTGGCAATTATAAGTAGGAATTCTTGGCACTAGAGAGAACTACGTCACTATTTTTAGGGGATTAAAAAAAGATTTTATGTCTCGAACAGATATTCACCGAAATTACTCGTTGGGTGCCCCTGTCGTACTGATTTGTTTTTCAGTGTTCTTACCTTCCACTCGTCGTAACACGTGACTAGCTTGTTGAAAGTTTAATAGCTGTTTTCTCTGTGCACTGTCGTACACAATTCCCATGTGCCCACCACCTTAGTCGGCCAAACTAGCAAATAAGCACCCTCTCCCTCCCCTCTCTAACGTTAAAACTGGTAAAAGATGCATGTCACCTAGACAGGCAGCCAGCTTTTTGACGACTTGTAGTAGTCGAAAAGTTGTGTTTTTAACGACATTTTTTCCTAAAAAAATGTTTTACTGAAGTCTCTCTCATATCAGAAGTTTTGATTTTAATATTTTATTTGCTGTAACGGGAGTTACAGACACGAAGTTCTGTTACCAACTAATCAAAACTATAACAAAATTTATGCAATTTTAAACTTTTTTAAAAGATTAAAATATAAGATATTTCGAGAGTTTTAGCTAGAAGAGAATAA